GAATTTTATAACCAATAAAATTCGTAAATCTGGTGCAGGAGCATATTCTTAAATTTAGCTAAGATCAAGAGCACCGATCAGATTCATCAATTTTACAACAATTTTTACAACAGTGTTCAGTAGGAAAAACAGTTTTGCAACTGTTGTAAGATTCTGAATCTGAATGGTGTTATGAGTCAGTTATGCACATGCACCAATCAGATTCACGAATTTTACAACAGCGTTCAGCAGAAAAATCATTTTTGCAACTGTTGTAAAATTCGTGAATCTGATTGGTGTATGAGCACGCTCTTAGATTTAGCTAAGATCAAGAGCACATACTCTTTAGATTCAGCTAAGATCAAGAGCAATCAGATTCACGAATTTTACAACAGTCACAAAGCTGCTTTTTCTGCTGAACGCAGCCTGTCTTCTCATTCGACTCAAAGGAGAGGATTATTAATTCGAGTACGTAGATCCGTGTCGGGTCCACATCACGAAGACCCGAGTTCGCGTCACAAAACCGCCATCATCCATGAAAGAGAGAGAGAGAGAGAGAGAGGAGGGAAGAAAGAACCGCGAAAAGGAACAGTGACAGCACTGAACATACATATATATATACATCGAAGGAGCGCGCCTTCGGCCGAAACAAAATCGCGAGGCCGCCAGGATGATGGTGTATGGCTACGATTGCGCGCTCTCGACTCCACGCAGTGGAGTATCGATAGTATATCGTGGAGTCGAATGGAGAGGAAACGGCGGCGGGAGAACAGGCTGAAGAGAGAAAAAGAGAGAAAGAGACGTATACTCAGGGTGGCGGAGGCGGCAATGTGGAGCGGGTAGAGGAGCAGCGGGGGTTTCTCTCCACGCTTTTGCGGTGGTAAGCGAGGTCGGAGGCAAGAAGGGGGACAGGGCTATGCTCGGCGCAGGCAGAAGTGGACGGGCAAGAGCGATTCAACCTCCTTTCACTTTCAACGAGCTCGCTCGCTCGTTCGTTCGCCGCGTTTCATGCGCGACCGACGAACACTCCGCGTACGAAAATAGGCAACGCTGCTGTGTTTTCGCTCCCCGGACCACCCCGTCGCCCTTTCCCCTTCCTCCCTTCACTGCCCCCTTTTCTCCCCCTGCGGGAGAGATCAGTTCAGAGGCGACCAGAGCGACCCGACCTCCTCGACAACGGGGTTCACGAGGGTGGCGTCGCGACGCTGCTTCGTGACCCTGAAATGGTGAGACAAGTGGGATAGTTAAGATAAGTGAGATAGGTGAATGAGCTCGTGATTGTTGGATTTTTTAAATTATTTAGGTGATTCGATATTTCATTTAATTAGATCTCTGTAGATTGTCTTCGAAATGAGAATTCGATGAAGCAGGATGTCGATATCGAGAGATCATTTTAGACAGAGCATGCACATCTCAGATTTTCGCAAATCTTTTTTTTTTAATTACAGACTTTTGCCATTTAATGTCAACTGTTTGATTACAAGGAGAGAAATAGAGAGAGAAGTTGAATGAAGCGACTGTAATTGGTTGTAGCTTTGAAACTCGCAGAGAAGTAGAGTACGATTCGTGAATTATCTCTGTTAAAATATAAATGATGCAGGGAGAATCGGAGGTATTCGATGATTTTCTACAGGAAATTTTATATTATTGAGCGTAGAGGCATAACAATTTCTCTCCGCGAAACAGGCGTAAAATACTTCTGTAACAAGACCGGAGATTGTATAATATATAATACGCTTTTGCTTAATATAATGATTTTTTTGCAGTGTCTGACTTTCTAATAGTTTCCCATCGAACAACTTTATACGCATTTAAAAATTCTATCTTTAAACAGATGAACAGAATAATCATAGAATAGAGAGAGAATATCGAAGCGATCTGAAGAAAACCATTAACTGGCGCAAACATAAAAGGAGATAAGAATTGCTTTCCAAACAAGGCTGATTATTTTCGGCTTTCCTTCACCAGTAATTATTAAAGTTAATAACCAGAGATAATATTTGTAGCCACTCACACATAAAACTAAAGTTCCGCTATATCAGAACTTCATTGCAGAACTTTATGCATAATATTACTTATCTTAAACTGATCTTGGCATAATAAAATACACTTTTTCATTATCTTTTAGATGTTAAAACATTCAGTGTAGAACTATAATTTAATTATATTTTAATTTAATTTAACTTACACGACAGAATGCAAAAATTCCATGTCGTAATAAAAAGAGCTAACACTCGTATGAAAATAATGATTTTTCCTCGCTCCGTATCGTCGGATATTCCAACGTTAAAGCGGAGAAAATGATTTACAAATGGGTCCTTGCGAAAACCTCTTGGGAACCAATTGCTCCATAGTTGTAAACGCTCCCGGCTGTGTTCCTTTCATGTTTAACTCGTTGCAGGAAATATGCCGCCCGCGCGGCGAGTAAAAAGCGTAAAACGTGCTTACGAGACTCTGCGCTGGCGAGTGTTAATCGACGATTATTATGGATTACGCGAGTGACCATTGTGACGCCTATCCTTTGCACCGTTGACAGATTACGGTCCCACCGGGTATGCATTAAACCGTTTATGTACGTTATGGCTTCGCCATTGATTCTCCAAAGTCATAGGCACTCGAAAATCTATTCTTCGTCGAAGACAAATTCGTTTGTCACTCGAAATAAATCGTACTGATAAGTATCTCTTCTTTTTTAATTTAACATTGTATTTCCAAATGCGTATTTATTTTATCGTTACTGATATTGAACCAATTGATTGATATTTCATTGTCTTTCTTTTAGAAAGATTCGTCAGATTATATTAAGTGAGATAGAATTGCACAAAATTGACTTTGTCAAATTATTTGAATATATTTGAGATCAAAATATTAATCTTTACTTTGTCCAAGAAATTACAATCGAAAATTCAGAGATTTTTTCTTAATAATACTGACATTTGGTCAGATAAGTCTCTAATTAACTTTTACACATTAAAGTATTTAGATTTAAAATCTTGAACTATGTACATGGAATTTTCTCATAGAATTTACCCTCAAAATCATGGTAGAACAATAGTATAATATTGGAAAAATTTTGTAAGAGTTTCTCTGATTAATATTTACCACAAATAAATATTAATATATACATATAATAAAATTAATCGAACATATTTTACATTTTATTGCGGTAGATATTAATATTTTTTATTGTGGCAAATATTAATAAGAAAAACTTAAAATTCTATGATTACCATGATTTTCAGAGTAAATTCGAAGAGAAAATTCTCTGTGTAGATGACATGCTGATTGAAAAGAAATCTCTTGAAAAAGATTAATATTTAAATACAACCAAGAATTCACAATGCAAGTAGTATATTAAAAATTAGATATTACTTCTCAACGTTTGTAAATTTTTTCAAAACAACTCGTTGATCAATCTTAATATGGCTCGTTATCAGCGATCAGTTTGAAGAAGCCGATGTATAGAGATCGCGGGTTTGGATGCGTTCGCGATAGCATATCGTGAGTGTAGGAAACACGAGTGCCAAATATATACTGTCATGATTTTGCGTAGCACGCGTATATATAACAGAAATAGCAGACGGTGCCCGCACTCTCGCTTTGTCCCACTTATCTAGCGATTAACCGTGACTTCCGCTTTCGTCGACGTCCGACTCAGAAGACCGCCAAGGTTGTTTCGTTCACGCCTGCGAGATTTCCCTCGATTCTCCGATGCGTTTTTTCACCGTAATGACCGTCTCGAGCTTTACAACTGTGCAGACCGACTGCAAGTTTCTCGTTGCTTTCGCGTATAAAACTTGGAATGATCTTGGAAGTGTCGGAAAATCTCGAGTTCTTCGATCGTTTTTTTTTAGTTACAATATTTTCTCTCAATATTACGGATTATTTAAATTAATTTAAGTGTGAATTATTGAATAGTTTTCCAAGTACTTATTCTCGTTCTCAAAGATTGAAAACGAAATTAAAAATTAGGCTTTAAATAAAAAAAAAGTTTTTTATTGAAAGACTACAGTCTTCCTATATATCATGAAAGAGATAAATGTATTTAATTAAACTTTTCATTACAACATTTGTTAATACTTCACAGTATATAAAAACGAAAAAATATCTAAAGAATTAATTTTTTCGTTTGAGAGATGTTTTATTTCCTATACATTTCTCGAATGGAAATTAATTCTTCAAATATTGTTTTTTCATATCTACATAGTGTTTTTATTTTAACTTTCAGGTTGAAATTGATTTAAAAAGCTAAGGCTTCTATCGTAAATGTTTTATACAAAAGCTGTAGAATTTTAAGGGAAGCATCTTGTTATAAACTCTTATCCCAATGGAGATATTTTCGAGATTTCGAGGTCATTACTTTTTAAATGGAACCACTATAATTTTCTTACATAAATCGATTTCTTGTAATATTTGGTGTAAAAAATTGTTACAGTTGAATAGTCGAAAAATGAATGGTTTACGAAATATTTCATATTTTTTGTCAAAATGTGTCAGGATAAAGCATAAAAATCCTGTAAATTATTCAAATTCATTTTTTGACTATTCAACTCTAACAATTTTTCATGCCAAATATTCCGAGGAATCGATTTATGTAAGAAAATTATAGTGGTTCCGTTTAAAAAAGTGATGATGACCTCGAAAATATCTCTACTTGGATTAGGACTATATTAACAAGATATCCCTCTCAAAATTCTAAAACTTTTATAAAACATTTTTCTATGGAAGTCTTGGTTTTTAAGAAACCTAGAGTCAACCCTAGAGTTAAAATGGGGTACCTTGAAAAATATATATATTTTAAAAATATATATTTTTTGAGAAATGAAGTGCAACTGAGACCATATCGAACACAATACAAAATAGCGCAGAAATCATTCACGATATATCTGTTAAGGGCATAGAGGTCCAGAAGCACCCAAACTCTTGACCGGTGCTAAGGATTGAAAAAAGAAATAAAGTGAGCACATCATACCTGAGAGATGAGAGATGGCCAAATCACCGATTCTTCCTTCTCATTTCAGCCGTGCGAGCGGACAGGATGCGAGGCGGTAGAAACAAATTCGGGCCCATGTACAAGAGGGACCGAGCGCGCAAGTTGCAGCTTATACGTCAACGACAAATGGCCATTCAGTCGATACGGGGCAGTCTTGGTGACCCATCCAGCTATTCGCCCGCGGTGACGCCGTTGTTGCACATCAAGCAGGAGATCCAAATACCTCAGGTCTCGAGTCTGACCTCGTCGCCGGACTCGAGCCCGTCCCCCGCGACCGTGGCTGCCGGCCTGGTCACGACGCAGGCAGGCGGTGCTAATCAGCACCAGCTGATCGCGCCGTCCACCCAACCGAACATCGGCACCAGCAGCAGCGGAGGCAGCGGTGGCGGCGGCGGAGGCGGCGGCGGTGGCGGCAATCACCTGCACAATCTCAACCCCGGTCTGGAGAGCAAACTTTGGACCGCGAACTCCACCACCTCCGGCACGAAGGTCTTCAACTTCGGTGAACAGTCCGCGCAGCCCCACGGCGGCGGGGTGGCCGGTTACACGCCTAATCCCGGCGCCGTTCTGAAAACAAATAATCCGATGATAAGGGACTTCCTGTCATCGATCGATGACCGCGAGTGGCAGACGTCTCTCTTCGGACTCTTACAAAACCAAACGTACAATCAGTGTGAAGTGGACTTGTTCGAATTAATGTGTAAAGTGCTCGACCAGAATCTGTTCTCGCAAGTGGATTGGGCTAGAAATTCGACGTTCTTCAAAGATCTCAAGGTAAGAACCGAGTTTTGAGAAAGGTTCCTTTTTTTATAACTTTTTATTTTATATTTTATAAGGAGGATGAAGGTGTCGATACAATATAACACGATTATTACACGATCCCACGCGTATTAAAAATCGTAATTGCAATGATTGTGTCAAGAATCTTCTTTGTCGAAAGAGAAGTTTTGTTCTTACCGATAAATAACTCGTTGCCTGGCCTGCTCGTGCCATGAGCGGGGATGTGAGGTAACCAACGGCATTGCACAATCACTACTGAATGATTTCAAGCATCGCCTCATATCTAGGTCATAACAAGATACGTTTCTGGGTTATGGCGGTTGCCCCAAAGCAGCAGGACTGCGTTAATTATCAATATTTTTAGCTGTAAGTTTTCTAACAATTTTTTAGTTTTACTTCAACATGGCAAATTTGTTAACAACGATATAAAATGAAAGGAGACAAGTTTGTTGAAATCTTTCGTCGACAATATGGTATACCACTGCTACCGGATCTTCATACTACATTTTTATTAAAATCGTGTTATACGTTTAAATAAATTTCTTAAAACATTATAAATATGCAAATCATTATATATATATAATATTGAACACATTTTTATGTTTTTATTACAAAAAGGAATATTCTGGAATGAACAAAGTGTATATTAATGGTTCAATATTTAACAAACATTATACATATATATATATATATATATATATATATATATATATATAAGCAATTAATATCATTTATATTAAAAATTACATTTTTAAATTCATTAACTGTTCACGTTCTCTCTTAAATTTAATTATTTCTGAAAATATTGTCATTACTGTATTGTGTTGCTGTATAAAATTTTTATGCAAAATATGAAATCCTAAGTGAAATATAACAATTTTTCTGTATGTTTATCACAATTAATAATACATTTACACAATGAATAAATGTTATTTTTATTAGGTTGACGATCAAATGAAACTACTACAACACTCTTGGTCGGATATGTTGGTGCTAGACCACCTTCATCAAAGGTTACACAATAATCTACCCGACGAGACGACACTTCATAATGGCCAAAAGTTTGATCTCCTTTGCCTCGGCCTACTCGGAGTTCCTGCCTTGGCCGATATCTTCAAAGATCTATCCAAAAAACTTCAGGATCTAAAATTCGACCCCTCCGATTACATATGCATGAAATTTCTAATGCTGCTTAATCACGGTAAGTAAAATCAGATTTATACACGCGTTCGTCTCGTAAGTGACGAGTTTTGAGAAACAACAGATAATAATTAAAGTAATAAGACAATTTGTTTCAAAGTTAGCACATTGCATTTCTCTTTCAAACGTGATTCTTGTAGAAATGTCACGTCATAGAAACTTCCTGTAATAACATTTGAAACATTATACATAACATCTCATAGTTTAATTTTTATATTTTGTCTAATTTTTAAATAAATATAATTGTAATTAAAAATTTAATTTGTACAAGACATTTGTATAATATATCGCTTATTCTCTGCATAAATGTATATATTAATATATATTAAATGTATATGTTCAATTTGATTCAGATGTCCGTGGACTAGTAAACAAAAAGCATGTGCAAGAGGGTCACGAGCAGGTTCAACAGACGCTTATGGAGTACACGCTAACTTGTTACTCATCTATACCGGTGCGTTTCATTGCGAAATTCTCCCTCATATATACTCATCTAAAGTAGGTTAGCAGACAGTAGATATTTAATTATATTCCTTTTTTTCGATCTGCGCAGGATAAGTTTAACAAACTGATAGCAGTATTACCGGAAATCCACGAGGTGGCAACTAGGGGAGAAGAGCATCTTTATCAGAAACATTGTAGCGGAAGCGCGCCGACGCAAACGCTTCTCATGGAAATGCTTCACGCCAAGAGGAAATGAAACGATCAGTTTTTCTTGGTAATTTTTGCCATCGAATATAATTCGTCGCTATATATATATCGGGAAACAAATATATATATATATATATATATATATATATATATATATATCGAAGTCCTGTTATTGCCCCTAATCGTGAAATAGAGTGGACCTCAAAGTACATATAAGAGCTAAGATGCTGCTAAGGTATCAGACCAAGTAAAGGGGCCCTGGTTCAAGATATACCTATGCATACAAATCAAGTATAGACGTACACATACTTTACATATATATATATATATACACATAGTATATGTATCATAAAGTGTATTTAAATATATAAACACATATATTTTCTATATTTGATGTTGAAGTTTTAGAGATGTATCCGTGAAGAATTACCCCTGTTGGCGGGTACAAGAGCAGGGAAACAGTAAGCAAGATGCCTTGAAAACAGTACAAAGGGTGGTTAAAACAAACACAAAAAAATATTGGTCAAAGGGCAGGCAACTTTGTCTAAATAAGTAAAACTATTTTTCTAATATAACTTAGAAGCGAATTTATTTTTAAGCATACCACACACCACTGAAGCCTTGCTCTCACTCAAACGAAATATATATCGTACTACCGTTAAAGAGAATCGAAAGTCTCTTTCTCTCTCTCTCCAGATCAATCGTGCTTCTGCAAGGGATTCAATGGGCATACTTGAATGACAATGAATTGTATGTGATATACATATATGTTTCTCGCACGGCCACCTGGGCATCCTTAGAATTTCCTATAAAAAAATCTGCATTTTGTCACACTTGCACACAGCAGGGCTATTATTGTAAATATCTAGTTAACACATTCCATTTATGTTGTAAAGTACGAATCCTGTTAAATATGTAATTATCATATTTTGTGTATAGTCGAATAATAATGAAATGAAATAAATATATTTCTGTTGCTTATTCTCGAGAAAAAATTATTAGCTACTTAATGTCTTCACTAATTTTAGAATCTTATTCATGTAACTTCTTTATTATTTTTCAAATAGGTGGCGGAAAGGAATAACTACAAATTGCGATATTTTACTATTGTATGTTGTATCATAATAAAGATTCTGTTTTAAGAAATAAAAGAATCATTGGAGCAAGGTTTATGTGGTCCTATATTGTCTAGCGATTAATTCTAAATATATAAGGTAACATTAATCGCGTATCGCAGTTGTTAAATAGAGAAATATTTAGTAAATGTTAAGCTAGAGCGATCGAAAGTAGACATTTTTTACTAATAGATTATTATTAAATATTAATTATATTATTAATTATTACTATTATTATTGTTTAGCCGATAGTCAGAAAATTTTTCAGTGCTGTGAAGGTTGTCTTTCCGACGCCTGTGGTATATCAAAGCCATTGGAAATTATAATATTGTGTCAGACGCAAAGCTTAAATGTGACAAAAGAGACAGAAATCTCTCCTCGCACCTGGTAGATTGGTAATGTTGCCCGTTGCGACTCCTCTTGTATTTATTCACGTATCAAACACACGTACCTGCTACAAAAATGCTATTTTACTACTTTCACTTTTTCCACCGATTTTTCGTAATACATACATACATATATATATATATATATATATATATATATATATATATATATATATATGTGTAATTAGAGTTGTGAACGACTTGTTGACAAGCGCAAAACTCGACTTTGTCACGTTAGATTAAGAATCGAGTGTTAAATCAAATCAAGAGAAGAGCGGTAACGAGTATTATTACCACGGAAATAAAAATATTTTGACGAGGGCATCGTATATGTACTTATCGCGCGAGTAAAGATTTATGTCCGCCGTCAAGTGTTTGACTTTATACGCCGATCTATAGAAAATGCTAATGTTCCCAAATTTTCAAATCGTCTGGTTCTTCATATAGGATGTAATTGGATACACAGGTCTAGGTTTATCATTATTCTCATCTTCAGTGCTTCTTTGCAAAAGAAAAAAAAGGATTTTTATTTTAACTCACGACACGAATGACTACCTCTTCATATCTGTATTAAGTTTTTATACTTTTACATTTTTAGTAACCACATACCTCAGAATAGACGCCCAGATAGCAATTTGAGTGAAATGAGTGAATGTAATTACGCATAAACAAATATTTTTAATCCGTATAGTGTGTATAATTACACATTAAGAAACTACGATATGTAATACAACTTATTAAAAATATCGTACATTGTATATGTCCACATTTTAGATCTTAGTTATATTATTATTATTATTATTATTGTAATTTTGCAACTTAGTTCATAATTGTGTCACTTACCATGTATTAGTTACTGCTGTTACATTTGAAAAAAATCGCTTTAAATCATACATTGCTGTTTGGGTGAGACAAGTTCACGCTACCGTTTATTTATTGTATATCGTCTTTTCTCATTTCTGAGACCTCCTGCTGAACGTGTCGGTCTGATAATTTTGGGACAAATCGTATTAATCGCATCATTTCCTTCTCTCTTTCTATGTTAATGAAAAAAAAAACTAAATTTTGAAGATATAGCTCTATATCAATTATCTTTGTATATATTGGTATATAGGATTAAGGTATATAAAGTGTGACATATTAATCTCTTTAAAAATTTAATTTTAGGAAGACATTTTCTTTTTTATATAAAATGTGTACAGGATTTTGAAAGGTGATATTTAATGGCAATAATATCTTTATATATATTTTTTTAAACGAAAAAAATCTTTATTAACAAAGTGTCATTATTTTTTTCTAGAAAATTTGCTGAAATAGACAAATTCAATAGTAATATTTTTTAAAAATATTAACATAAGTTTTGCATCCAATTATATCGATTATAGCAATTCTATAACCATGTATTCAATAACATAAGTGTGTATGCTTATGAAGAATACATGTGTCAAATAAAATTATAACAGAAGCATATATAAGCACGTTTCTATTAATACATAGACATGAACATTTATATGATGCTAAAGCTTGTGCAAATATTGAAAGAAATTACATTGAAAAAATAATGAGATCATCATATTACTATTATTTTTCGAAAAAAATAGCATAAAGTATTATAGTCACTACATATTCCTTTGCAAAATCGCATGTTTTATTTCAGATGTTTTCTTTCAATTTAAAATAAGTATATTTTTTTCAAACATTAATATGCCATGCTTTATAAACGCCTCATCCTATATATAAGTCCATCCCGATTAATGACTCGATCTGTCACATGTTTATTAACAATTGTAATTAGTAAATACGACAATTACAGCGTTATGTATATTTTTTTATGTTAAATATGTACAGTTACCAATTATGATTGGCAAATAATCTAATTTAATATCAATGTGATTCTTTGATCCAATAAAACGTTGGAATAAAGTTTAAAAGAAAAAAAAAACTATTATGCGTTGTTATAACACTGCCATTAGCAGTTGGCAATTGTAAATTATGTAGAAAAATTATAATTGACTGTAAATATATCTTTATTATTAACAGATAACTGTTCCTTTCTAGAGTTAACAGCGCTATTTTTTATATGCTATACTGATTGAACCTCCACAATGACATTATTTCCCTCATTTGTAGTATTGTTACCAAGATGATGCGAAATTGCTAAAGATAAGATATTTGGAAGGAGAGTTGAAAATGGTATATAGGGTCAGTCAATATGCCATTTTGTGAGATTCAAAAATAATATTTTATAATTCAATTACTTGTTAGGATATATATACAATTATTGCAAAATTTCAATGTCCTTGTGCACTCGAAAAGAAAGAAAAACGAAATATTATCATAATTCGTAACTTGAATGCTATTATTCATGTATCATATGACTTGTATATCACAATATTTGTTTGCTTTGTATAAATATAATATAAAGAACATTGCACACAGTGACTAATAAAGATATTGCAAGTATGGCAATCAATATCAATTTTTGATTTGCTAAAAAAAAATCTTCATACATTAATCTTTATGTTGAGCTATATTATATACAGATGATGCATTAACATACGTTTTTTGGTTGTAATCACAATAACAGTAACAATCAATAACATATCACCATGATTAAAATCATATACATGTATTAAAAAATCAAATGCTATTGCGCTTAATGCACTAAATTTTTCATAAATTAACATTCATTTTCGTTACTTATAAAACTACTGAGTGAAATGATTGATGTAAGTTACTTTCAATGATTATATATATATATATATATATATATTAATATATACTTATTAATATATATATATATATTATTAATATTACATTCTTATTAATATATACATATGAATATATTATATAGATTATATATAATATAGTAATGCATCTTTTAGATTTATATGAATTATTAAACACGAATAATTTACATTAAGATTTTTCATGTTTGAAAAGAGAAAGTTATTTCTTAAATAAAGATCATTGAAATTTTGAATATCTTCAAATAGAAGACAAGATAGGTTTCTAAAATATATAACTAATAACTTAAATGCAATATCAAATAAAATCATCAATTAAAGCAAAGAAAATTTATGATTAAAGATAAGAAAAATGTTTTAATTTATATTTAATGAGCGTCTGATTTTAAGAACGTATTATAACCCTCTTCGTTCATCAAACTTTTGATTTCGTCTAGGTTGTCTAACTCTACTTTAAAGAGCCAACCTTCTTCATAACAAGACGTATTAATTAAGCTAGGTTTATTTTCGACCGCCTCATTTTTTTCTGTAACTTTTCCACTGACCGGACTTATCAATTCTGAAGCTGCCTTTACTGATTCTAGAGCTCCACATTCCTCTGAAATATTACATCAATTTTGATCTCTCTAGGTAAAAAATGATTAAAAAAATTTAAATTTAAATTATATTGTATTATATAAAATATACCTAAGGTCATCAGCCAAGCTGTATTCATATATTTACAAGAATAAAAATGTAAGTATGAAAAGTGTTACGTAATATAAATCTAAGAATATTTTATATATTCTAGAGATAGAATAGAAAAAAATATATTTTTTTTTATAGTAATGTACAAAAGTTTTTTTCGTTTTAATCATTTTTTTTATTTTTGAGACTTACTTCTTTTCAAAAATCTGATATTAGAAAAGAAGAAAAAGTATATGTCCTTACCATCTTTCTTGACTGTGGATCCTACATCAGGAAGTTGCGCAAATACCACATCTCCTAGTGCATCTTGTGCATAATCCGAAATTCCAACTGTGCCCACTTTGCCATCCACTGTCACCCATTCGTGTTGGTCGGTGTACCATCGTTCTTTAAAAAAAAATTATGTATTTAAACTGTAGCGAACACTTATTCGCAACTGTAGCTAAAATCATGTGATTTATTTATTGAAATAATCAAGCAATTTTAATTATCAGAATGATAGTTGAAATATATCATGTGTTATTGAAGGGCATTTGAGATAATAAAGCAGTTAAAATATTTTTTATATTATTACATTATTATATATATTATAATTATAAATATATAATTATCATATATATATATATATGTTTTTATATATATATATGTATATTATATATATTAAATATATAATATATACATATTATATTATCATATTAATTTTACTTATATATATTATTATATATATTATAATTATCAATATATAATTATCATCATCTCTATATCTATATCTATTTTTTATATATATCTGTATATTATATATATTAAATATATAAATATATACATATTATATTATCATTATAATTTTACTTATACTATATCACTATAAATATTATTTTATAATATAATCACACACATTAATTTCAAAGTCACTCCTTTATAGCAATCAACAAGATTGAAGAGAAAAATCTTGAAAAGAGAAAAAAATCGCTATAGATTTGTTTATATCATATAATTTGTTTTTTATTAATTCATTGTATATATTTTTTAGCTCTATTTACCAGCTCTCAAACACCGAGTTGTGGTTATGGAGCGCCATGCGGCGAGAGATATCCTCGATTTCCCGGTCGCGTTGAATAAATCGTTTCTACCCTGGGAAACGAGCGTCTTCATCGCGCACCTGCTGATATGTACCATCAACCTTGCCATTTTTTAAAATCCTTTTCTACCGCGATGTAACCTTCTTGCAAGCGAAACGAGACGTTCGCCGGCCGAGTCTGGTCGAATAATGAAAGAGAAAAGACTCGGATTGATTCGCTGTTCTGTCTTCTGTCGTCATCGGCCCCTTTTTATCTCGTCTCGAAAATATAAATAAAATAATCGCGTTAAATATCTAACACCTAAACAAGCCAATACAAACCGATAAACATATATATATATATATGCATATAAAAATTTGCTCATAATATTAATCTTTTTTATTTTTCACCTTACGTAGAGATCCTTTTTCTTAAATTATAACTTGTATTATGTATAATCCTATCTAAACAATCGCAAGAGGACAGTTTTAACAGATCAGCAAATGATCTCCAACCTTTGAGCTATTGAACTAATTTTATATTTTGATTATCAGTCAGCATTCTCAGCAATTAAGTGTTCACTTGTAAATGTTATTCGTTAGATTCTTAAGAATGACATCGTCAGACTTTGTTGGCATAAATTATGATTTGCAACTTTATTAGCAAAATGTATAGACAAAGTTTTCAGATTAAAGAGCAACATTTTCTGCCTAAATTTGTATATTGTTGTTAAATAATTATGTTGAAAATGATTACAGGTTTAGATGATGGCGATTCATGCATCTTTTTCTTATTTACATACACATAATCCAATGGTTTTTGTTTTATAGAACTTCATATAAAAATGAAGAATTTACTTATGCATCAAAAAGTAGAAATTTATTATAAACATTAAACGTACATGTGTACTTTTAAAATTATTGTTATATGAATATAATAAGATTTGATAGTGTTACTTACAATGTATTCATATGGAATTTACATACTCAATGTTACTCAAACTGTACATCACGTGAGTTTAATGCGATAGTCACGCGTTAAGAATATCTCGTCACACAAGTTTATCAAAGTTCTTACATATCGGTGACCTCAGAGATCAGTGTCATATAAACTTATCAATATATAAAAAATAGTTTGCTGTGAAATAAGCATATATCTCTCTTTCATACATTGGCTACATAAGTATCTTTTGTGCCTGTATATCTATATAATATATAAATGTTTCTGTAATTTTTTTATCATTTTACAGTATCAATGATTATCATTCGATGATGAGTCTATGTAGTCAAATGATAAAAAATTATATGTACGAGTACACACAATTAACAGGAACACAAACTAATAAATCTTACAAAAATATTTTTCCCCACATTAGTTATACATAAATAGAAACATTCATACTAATTCTATTTTCATGTCAATTTCTCACTGAATTCTTGTCATGATAATTCTATGTTAATAACTAGATAATCTTACAAGATATAAATAAAATTTAATTCCAAATTATTATATTGACATATAATTTTGTCTAGTCTTTGCTAAATGTATTTAATTATATAATTATTCAATCAATAATAGTTTTTTTCTAGAAAATTTTAATTGATATTTAATAAATTAGCTGTCAGCACGCGTATGACGAGATATTCTAAGCACATAAAGAAAATAATCACAGAATTAATTATAATCCAATAGTGGAAGAACGACCAGTTGAATTGTGAATCGAGACTGGAACAGGCTTACTAAGACACCATTCATACCAAACCTTTTTAGAATCACATCTGCGCCAAAAATGGACCACTATTTCATCTCCTGCCTTTAATTGTATTGGTTCCTACATCATTAAATATTATTATCATCATATTATCTATTAATATTTATATGATTATATATATACCTTAATTGGAAAGAAGATTGGAAACCAACTAAACATATCTGGACTATATGTGTTGGGTTCTATGCTCAATGTGATATTTTCATATAAAATTGCCAAAAAGTATCCTGAAAATCCATGTAACACGCAGTTCTGGTCTACTTGAAAAGATTTTGTTTCATATCTCGAATTATCAGTAACAACATCTATATAATTATAAATGAGAAAATTAGAACATAAATTAAAATACAAAAGAAATTATCAATACTTTATATTTAAACAAACCTGTATTTGGATGTTTGAATGTAAAAAGTGGTTTTGGATTTGCTATGTTGTATTTATTTTGAAGATGTACCACATATGGAGTTTCAAAATGAGCTAATGGATGTTTATCTTTATCTCTAAGTTGTCTTACTTCATTATACAATTTAGAGGAATGCATGGGGGCAATATATGAAGTATATGATTGCGGTATGCTGATTCCATCCTCTAACAAGTTTATAAAACAAAAAAGCAAATAATTAAAAATGTTTATATTAGTTTTAACTATAATGCAATTTGTATAATATGCAATATAAACCTCTTAAGAATTTCATGACATTATCTAAGCATTCTGGAGACAATTCATTATCGCCAAAGGATCCGAGTAATTCAGAAATAATAATATCAGCTTTTTCTGGGGGATTCCAATCTCTCATGTCACAAGATATTACCGTAACTTTATCTTTCCACAAATCTCTCTGAAAAGCCTGTAATCTGTAAATATAAAAAGTGAAACAATGTATATGAATGCATATAAATGCATATCTTTTCTGATCTTTATTTAAAAAAATTCTTACGTTATCACAGCATTAGGATTCTTTTCTACCGCATATACTTTCACTTTCTGACAGGCCATCTCTGCAGCATTTAGAGATGCGGTTACAATTGGTCCTCTTCCAGCGCCAACTACCATAATGACTCTAAAAGTTTTAAATTGTTATGTTTTTATAGATATTACATGATTATAACTTACATTTCTCTTTCTTCCTCCTTAATCTTAGGTATGATTCCTTTGATAGCTTCGTATGTAGCATTCTGATATTCCCGATATTTTACAGGGTCTTTTCAAATATTTCATAAGTTTGTGACTCAAGATTATCCATTAGAGGTTGTAAAGGACATTGTAAATAATCTTCGTATCCTCGAGCGAATTTTTCTATTGTTCCATCACTCTGGCATCCCTAAAGGAATAAAAACATTAATAAATGAATAATGAGTAACACTAAGCGTTTTAGACGAGCGGTTATTTGAATATATTTTTATTGTCATCTAATAACCACTCGTCTAAAAACGTCTTGTTTTACTCATATTCATTTATTAATAAGTTACGAGTTATTGTCATTTTCATTTATGAGAAATTATTTTCTATTTTATAAAATATTATAAACTAATTATATTAATCTAATCTAAATTAAATTATGTAAATCTCTTGGTATATAATTGATATAACTTTACAATTTCTTATTGCTTTACCTTCCATAAATAATCAAGATAATTGTGATAATAGCTAATACTTTGGTAACGCGTTGCGCCTGTCAAAATGAATTGTACTTCTAATGCAGCGAATTTTTTCACCATTGCTTGATGTGCTTTACTTATACCGGATATCCCTTTTTATTAGTTAGAAATAATGTTGTTGGTAAAATTAAAGATTTCACTGGTTCGCCAAGCCATCTATCTACCTGGTATTTAAATCCAAAATTACTGTATTGATACATTGCACATATTGATATTAAATAATTTTAATTTTTAAAAAATTAATTTATAAGTTACCTCTTCCATTTCAGGCACATCATGACTAATGATTAATGCAATTCCTAATCTCTTATTATAGTCACATATTGTTCTAATGCATTCCACCATTCCCATGGATTTTTCATCTACTGGACAATCTTCTGTTCTGTAAAAATAGGCTTGTCTAATTGGATTTTCCATAGGAACTTGTATCCAAACCTATAACAATAGAATATATATATTTTAATGATTTTAAATGGTGCCTTATAACCTATGGTAAAAAGATGAAATTTTCAACTTTTGGTAAGCATATTTTAATTCAAATTTCTTAATAAAAGATGTAGATAGTGTATACACTTTAAGGAAAATTAGTGAGACAGTAATTAAAAACAAAACTGAATTGTATTGTTACCTGAAAACTAGTATTGTTATTTGATATTTTATCAGAAATAATCCTTGCAAGATTCACATTTTTACTTATCCACGTTTCAACTTCAAAGTCACTCCTGATAAACCAAATGGCTAGCTAAACCTATTTCTTGATTCAAGGCTTCTTCACTATTTTTTCTAATAACTGGATCAGTCGAATCCACATTAATAATGGTGAAAATTTGCCGATTATTAAACTATTCCAATCTGCAAAATAAATTGTAGATTGTATGAAGTTGATTTATTTATTGTATATATTTTAAATATCAATAATATATTGATATGTAATTTAATATAGAGAGACACAAGAGATTAAATCTATAATAAATATTTATATACCTGAACTACGTAAAATTAAGTCGGGCCTAGTAAATGGGCCTGGACGATTCTTGGCAGGACCAGAGATAAATTCCCTCTTGAATAAAGGGTGGACCAAAGGAACACATATAAATCATATCTGAAAGCACAAATAAAATATAGCATAATTGTACACAAAAAATTTGATAAATGAAATATGTACAATTAATAGTGACTTACTTTGAGTCGTTTGCGTAAACTAAACAATCGTTTAGATTCGCAGCACAACCAAAATCTAATCCACAAGAAACTGGTCGTGGACTTGTCATTGCAATATATAATAAAATATATATTTTTCTTTTCCGAAATATATAAATTGATTTATGTGATGTATGATTTCAATTCTATTTCTTTTCGCACAGTAGGATCGTCAAATGACTATTGGATGGAAGCCGGCAATGTATAAATTTCAAATGTTTTCAATTAAATATATAACCATAATAATTGTCCACAATTTGTCAGAACCACTAATAACGATATTTTATGTTCCGGTTTTATATCGGCGAAGCAACGTTTAAATAAACGTGATTATAAATAAATTAATATACACACGTGCATAAAGTTAGATGGTTATATTTCGTACAAAGCCATCAGTTTATAGCAGCCATAGAAAATATTACACATAGAAAGCTTTTCGAATGTAGAAATTTTAAGTACAATTTTCATGCGTTTCTATTTTAGAATCAACCAATCAAAATCAAGCATTCTTATTATCTTGGGAATACTTGATTATGATTGGTCGGTTTGTTTCCGAATTTATGTCAAAAATTTGTCTGCATGCAATGACGTTTAAATGAAGAATTATAAATAGAACAGAAAGAAAGAAAAAAAAAAATAAATATGCACAAGAATTAATAATACCTCTTTGGTGGTTGAAAGTCTCGTCTTTTCTTCTCTCTCTCCCTCTTTTTCTTTCTTCTTACGGAGTCTACTTCCTGCACCGCCATCTTAAAGTGCAGTGTCATCGGCGCGTCTCGTCAAGTTCGGAGGAGAGGTAGTCTTTCGATCTCGTTCGTGCGAAAGAGCAATTTTTTTATATATATTAGCAGCAAAAATGTCGACCGGAGCACTTTTTGTAATAACGCATCGCGCGGCGCCTCGAAAATCTGGTAGAGTTCAAGGCTGGCAAGATGACTGTCAAGGGAAGATGGTTTATCCGGACACGAGGAAGGGTCAGCTCTACGTCTATCAGTCCGATGATTCGTTGATGCATTTCTGCTGGAAGGATCGCACCACCACCGGAGTGGTCGAAGATGTACGATGATTCTTACTTTTTAATATGTAAAAAGATGTTGGCTAATTTGCCCTACGCTTTTTCATCAAATCTCACACTGATAAAAATTATATTTCAATCTTAATTATATTTTAGAATATAATTTTATGATATAAGTAGATATATGTTTATAGTCGAGTATGTTTTTCAGGATTTAATAATCTTCCCTGATGATTGCGAATTCAAACATGTTCCTCAGTGTAAGACTGGCAGAGTGTATCTTCTAAGGTTCAAGTCGTCGAGTAAGAAGTTCTTCTTTTGGCTACAGGTATAACTTTAATTATGTTAATTAGTTTATTAAATAATTTTATATTGGTGTACTGTTATAGAAATTTAGAGTTAATTAAAAATGCTTATGTTTTCTTTTCACAGGACCTTAAAACAGATAAGGACGAGGAACACTGTAGAAAGATTAATGATGTACTTAATAATCCTCCGACACCTGGATCTCAGAGAAGCGGTGGAGCTAACGCAGAAGGAGATCTTCAGAATTTGTTGAATAACATGTCGCAACAGCAGCTCATACAGTTATTTGGTGGTGTTGGCCAGATTGGTGGGCTAGGTAGCTTGTTAGGTAACAATGAATAGACCGCATAGTGTTCAAAGTACAAGAGCTTCCACTACAACTTCATCCACTCCGGCCACTACTAACATAGCTAGACCGCCTCATTCGCTAACTCCTGGGCCTAATACGGACTCTAAATCTTCAAGTGAGTTGAATTATTTAATCAACTATAGCAATATAAATTGACGATAATAATCTAGATAATAATAAATCATCAGCGAGAACACCAGCTCCGTCCCCCCGGCCACGACAGCAGCAAGTTCAAACAATAGAATACAGCTTAGTGATTTGCAGAATTTTCTATCAGAAATTCCGACACCATCTCGGACTGAACCAGCTGTGCAGTAATGTCATATTTTTTCTTCATATTTATTTAATAAATGAATATAGGATATATATATATATATATATATATATATATATATTTATTTATTTTATTTTAATTGGAGGATAATCAAATTTATTAACAAATGGCTGATATTATTAGATGTGCAAAATATAATATATATTCTATTTTTTAATAATATTATAATTTGATTAGAATTTTAAATCAGCATAATTAAATTAAATAACAACAGTTCTGATAAAAACTTTTTAATATACTTGTTATATAAGTATATGTTTATACAGAGCAAAATATCAATAAGTGTGTTTTTAGAGATTCTTTGACTTTCATGAATTAGTTTTTACTTAAGAAAAATATAGAAATATCTTATAATTTTTGCACAAAACTTTCAATAAACTAAAATTGTAAGTTTTGGGGAAAAATAGAAGACAAAGTCATTTTTAGTTAATTTAAATATCGTCTACTTTTTGATAGAAAAAGGAAAAAAGAGAGGAAAGTTTGAATTTGTAATCTAGTTACAAAAGGTATACATATATTAGAAATTAGAAAAATGAGAGATAGTATTTTCATTAAAGAATTGTTTCCAATTTTGCCAAAGTAGTAATCAAAAAGATATTTAATGATACTGAGACATCTTAGCTTAAATATAATATAATATGGTTATTTATAAGGCGTTTAATTGAAAGTAAATAAAAACTGCAACATTAATGTTGTATGAAGAACTGATTTTTTTTAGCAAAACTATGTTTAATGCAGTAATGAAAGCTTAATAGATTTTTAGAGAATGATAAATTATGCATTTAAATTTGGTTTATTTAAAAATGGTTTTACATCTCATACTAAAACATTTTATATTTATTTATATTTTATAATAGAAGCATATTTCAAGATATTTATAATTATTTAATAACATTAATGATATATTTTTTGTGTCGTTTATTTTATCTAGAAATTATATCATTGGATAATATTTTTTTTTAAACGTTATGATAAGATTAAACTTGATTGATCATTTAATAGATTACACAAAACCACGCCTTTAATACATTTCTGGAAATGTTTTGTCTTGTATTTTTATCTTAAGAAAGATAAGAATTTGAAATATTATTAAATCTGATTTATTGAATATGTGTAAGAGAGAGAGAAAGAAAGAGGAAAAGTTATTATTTTCTTATTAGACTTTAGAGTAATAAAACTATATTAAAAATTGACTTGTCACAGAATTATATTAATATAGAAGAGAGTAAAACAAGATTAACAGAAGGAGAGTATTTTCATACAATGTATGTATATAAAAATATAATACTTAGAGAGAGAGAGAGAGAGAGTGTGTGTTGTGTAAACGAAAATAAATGTGAAATCATATACACAATTGTAAACTATAAGAGAAAATAACTCAGAAAAGTTCTCAACGTGAGAACAAAGAAGAATACAGAGAATTTAAAGAGTGGACAGATTATATTATTAATTGCATATTTCTTGCAGCTGCTATCATTATCAGTGATATAAAATACCATTCTTGATAACAGAAGTTAGCAGACACAATATCCAGTATTTGTTTAATCACTGTCTTATAAGTATCTAAGCTGTTCTTTGGGTGAACAAAACAAGAATAACAAGCAACTTTGTGTTCGTTAATTGCCAGATTAATTAGAAATTATATAGTACATTGTTATATTAGAAAAGTCATTAACAAATTGAAAATATTATCATATGCATTAAAATTAACAAAATTATGACTAAGAAATTTGATGGAATAATGGACTTTGCGTTTAATTAATGTACCACCTAAATTAGAATTCTAGTGTGCTAGACAGAGATAGTTAAAAGTTTACATGTTAATTTATATGTTTGTGGATAACTAATATCATTAGACAAGTCATATAATGAATGTATTGTGGCTAACATGTTCTATAATGTTGCATTTGCTTTTCTCTGTTTATGAAACTTGTAAAGTTCTAATAATCTATGAGAGATTTGCACAACACATATACATTGTCAAGCTTTAAATATTACGTAATCATTTAATGCATACAATACAATATATATATTGTTTTAAAAAATTGTTAAGCATCTTTTAATATCACACTCACACTATAAAATTATATTTAGTAATGCGTTTTTTATATCCTATTAAGCTGTATTTAGTAGAAAATACTTTTATAAGAGAAAGTTTTAGTATGTGTATGTGCAATAATCATTTCAAGAGATTTAATAATATAATTTAATTACTAAATTGATTAGTTATTGAAGAGAGGTGGATTGTGATAAAATAACATAACGGAGAATCGAAAGAACGAGCCATGGTTTTCTCACTATTCAGTAGTATTTTCTGTCTGAACTTTTCCTGGTTGTCGGAGACTCTGGCTCTGCTGAGCAGTTGGGGAAGTTTCTCCGGGTATATCTGTTGTTTTCGCTCAGCTACAGCGCAGCTTATTGTCCGGCAGAGGGGCGTAGCTACTGAGCTGACCAACGCCATCCCGGCGGCGATCTCTGCAACGGAGAGCCTGGAGAGTGCCATGAACGTGCACTTGCCACCAGGGGACAACCTGTCTACCACGCTCTCGTCTCCCCAGTTCTCCCAGGCGCTATCAATGTTCTGGTCTGCTTTGCAGTCGGGCCAGGCGGGCCCTGTCATCCGTCAATTCGGCTTGGGATCGGACTCCGTCAATGCTGCTGCCAGTGGAAACATCGAAGAATTCGTCAGCGCTCTGGAATCCGAAGCGAAGAGCAGTCAAGGACAACAACAGCAAGCGCAACAGGGACAGGACGACAAGAGTAAGAAGCAATCACCATCAGCTGCTAGTCCCGATAAGGACGATGACGATGAGGGCATGGCGTTAGATTAAGGATAGGATTTGTACTCATCTTTGAGAGATTCTTTTTTTTTTTCTATATAGAAACCATGCACTTGGATGTATATTGTGTTATATTAATCTACATACGATACAAGTCCTTTCAATGGATACAGATATTCTTCTCCGATATAATTTAAGTAACATTTTTTTCGAAAATATATATGCAGATGTTTTTCTAAATGTTCGATAATCTAGTATTTATACATCATTGAAAGATTAGTAAACAATGTCGATATACAAAAATGTTAAACAGAAACGAATAGAAAATTTTATCTTGTATATTTATTAATAAAATTAAATAAGGTACGAATTATTGGACAATTTTGTATACATACAGTACATGTTATTACTGAATTTATTATTGCTCCAATAAAATGCAAAATTTAACAAAATAGTGCGATTTATTTATTAGTGTGTATGTGTATAATTTAATATGTATATATATGTTTAGAATCAAATTTGTTTGTATCATTTAAAATTAAGAGAAAATAGTCTCTTTCTAGAGAAGAGACACATTGCTTTATTCGCAAGACATTGAATTGTTACAACAAAGTTACAATAGAGTGTAAAATTTAAATCGTAAAAAAGCGGCAAATCGAGAGTCCAATCGGACGCTTTTGTTTACGACGCACAAGCGTTTTATTGGCTCTTCGCGATAATCGATATACAATATCAATTGTCTGTTTTATCAATGTGTCTGAATTGCGTATCAAAATAAAATATATGTATGTTAGTTATAATGTTGTAGTATTACGAATAACTGTAATGAACATTTAATGTAATAATTTGAATTAATTTTCTTTTCAGAAAAAAGAGGTTAGGTCGAGGAAGAAAAGGTAGGTTGAGGGGACGCCGTGAAATGTGTTGTCAAGTGTTTGCATGGTTGATTCACGGCGGCATTCTATTGGCTGTTCGATCGTGACTTCATTCAGGCATGTTTGTAAGCTGGAGAATGGAGAAGCCAACGTTCAGGTAATTTTGACAGAATTTTTTTCTTAATAAAATACAGCCTATTTCATTAATAATCATTTATAGTAAATTAGCGTGCGATAATAGTGGAAATTTTACAACTAAACTTTTTATAAATATTAATTTAAAGAATAAAAGTGCGTACATGAAGATAAAAATAAGAAAAATTGCTCGAATTGATTTTACATGATAAAATTATGTCAGAACTAAAATATATATATATATATATATATATATATATATTATATATATTGTTCATACTTTTATATATATAAGTATATAATTATAGTAATAAATTACAAACATGAGAAATAAAAATCTGAAGAACGAACTAACCAACAATTCTTAAGAATGCTAAAGTAATGAATCTTTTTTTTATTTGATAAAAGTAACGTTTGCAAAATTGGAATCAAAATTTATAAACGAAATTATAAAATGCTATTCAAAATTAAAATACAATCCGGGGTGGTTCGCGTGTCATATATTTTCCTTTAAATTAAACATAATTTTCTAGATACGTTGATCATATGCGTGAAGATAGGAATGAAAACAGCGGCACACGCGGGGCGTCTCGCGGCCAGATTCACATCGATCGGAGCAGCCGGGCGTTTTGTTTGTAAACAAGAGGCCCTCGTCCGTGGATTGCGCCCGCTCAGTTTGCGGCCCTGGGGGCCGCGCGCGCGGCTGCGCGAATCGAACAAGTAGTGAGGGGGCTCCCTCGCGAACGCTGATCGCCGAATGCGCCTCGGCGAAATTCAGAGCTGAAAAAGCCGCGGTTGAATAAACGTAATCGGAGCCGGACGCGGCCCTCTTTTCCGTCTGCGAGTGCGCTCGATCGGCCGCTTCGGCGTGCCGCGACCCATTCTGGCCAGTGTCATCGTGCAACAAGCTGCGGGTAACGCGATTACGCTCATTGTTGTGATAGCGGTACCGCGGCGGCGGTGTTGAGAAGCGAGCGGGCAGGCAGGCAAGGCATAGGCTAGGGAAAGCGGAAGGGGAACGGGGAGACCGAAGCGGAGCGAAGTGAAGTTGTGTGCGAGAGAGCGGGATACCCGCGCGCGCAGCCCATACGTATGCACAATGGCAACCTTGACACTTGGTGATCGTTTTTGACGGCTCCGCGTCGCGAGTGAAAGCGGAGGGCACTCCTTGAGCAGCGGCATCGAGACGAGGAGGAAAAAAAAAAGCAAGAGGAGGAAGAGGGGAAAAAGGAGGAGGCGCAGGAAGAAGAAGAAGAAGAGGAGGAGGTGGTGGTGGACGGTAAATGGTGCCGAAAGACGCGGGAGCGCCGCGTACGTAGACGTCGACATCGGGATTCGGCGCGGAGTCACGCATCCGTTGTATATATATATATATATATATATATATATATATATATATATATATATATTTCTCTCCTTTCCTTTGTTTTGATTCGGACGAGATCCCCGCGAGAGCCAAGTGAAGTTGTGTCGCGTTTTGCGTCGCGTCGTGCGCGCAGCGTTTTGGCATTTTGACACGCCGTGGCATCGAGTTAAAGGTTAGTGACAAGTGTCATTGGTCGACAGATTGTATGAATCATCTTCTCTCCGCTCCGACCTCGTTCTCGTATTTCCTCATCGTCCTCGTCAGCATTGTCATCTTCGTCGTCGTAGCGACGTGCGTGCGTGTCGCGTGTTGACTACGAAGCGATAAATTCGTGAAATCGATCTCGTTTATTATCAACAATTTACATATAATATATATTATATATATATATATATATATATGTATATATATGTGTAAAAATAATTCAACGATTCTGTATGTATCATTTGTAAGATAAGCGATTATCTCGTTACGAATTATATTCTATACACGAATTTTTCTTATTTAATTAATTTTGCAACATTTTTCTCTGAGCGTTTTTAATTGATTTATGCAATAATTTTTATTATGAGACAATTTTGTTTTCCTCTAATCTTTTAATGATACCACCGCATAAATTCATTAAAAATTCTCAGATAAAATGTTGCAGAATTAATTAAATTTATAAATTAATTTATAAATAAGTTAAAATTATTGCGTTTGGGCAATTTTGTAGGGAGAATTAATAAGGGAATCGTCTTTTTTGCGATTTATCGCCCGGTAAAACGTGCATGGAGAAACGTCACTCGCGCGACCGGTCGGACGACCCAATTTTCTTTTCTCGTCGCTTGCGGTACATATGGACAACGTATACGGAGATGTACGGAGTCTGGTATATACTTGTTACTTTGTTCTTTGTGCGCGTGCGACGCGTTCAACGCACGCGGAAGTAGCGTTTCTCTTTCCGCGTCCAGCTTACGCGGAAGAATTGAAGACGCTTCGCAATATTCTCAGAAACAACCATTCGTCTCGTGTTTTGCGTGTTTTTCGATAATTTTAATTAAGTTTGAGTAATTTTAATTACTAACAATTTTAATTTTAATGATTTTTATAAGTAATGTTTAATCAATTAATAACAAAAGTTAAATGATATCTATTTAAGACGACATCGCGGTGTCTCTGACGTAGTCGTAATTTTAAAGTCCAAAGTAATAAATAATGCTATCTCGCAAAAATATTTGTCTCACGAATAATTAAATTATACATTGATTTAAGAGGCGATGTTTTTAGATGGTTGTTTACTTCAAGTAATCAGACGTTCAATTCAGAGATAATTAAGGATAATTTATTTATTTACTTATTTATTTATTTATTTATTTATTTTTTACGGAATAAGTATTAATTTCTTCGTTGATTCGTCATGTACTGTGTGCCATTGGATTGCGATTGATGAAAACAATGACGAGGATGATGACGACCTCATTCGCTTCCTCGCGTGGAAAAAAAAAGCCGACGATACGAACGGTTGTAAAACCGTTGCGACGTGACATTTTGCCTCATTATAAGTCTCTAGTCTCTATATTCTCTATTCCACAAGGAAATATAAAACCAACTACACTGAAAAAATTGTTAACTTGACTAAACCGTTCAAGTAAATAATATTTTGTTAATTGAACATATACAAATATATTTAAATTAAATATATTAAATTTAACGTGTATTTTAACTTAAATATTAATCTATGTACAATTAACAAAATAGTAATTTAGTTGAAAGGTTTAGTCAAGTTAACCATTTTTTTCGGTGTACAGAATAATATCAATTAAGAATTTTGTCTATTTCAAGAATTCCGTTAAATCAAAATAAATTAATTGCATAGATAATACGTGGAGAATTTCATAACTAAACATTTCACAATGCGGAGCATTTCAAAGTTAGATGACTGTATAATATTGTTTTCGTATCTACGTGTCTTTTAAACCATTGTATTGTATCGCGATGCTTTAGTTTGCATTATAAGTATGCACAGTGTGCGTTAGGTATTATGCATATCGATTGTTATACTTCAAGTAAAGCGATCTGTCTTCAGTTTCTTCGACGCATATTGCTACATTTGTTGTTTTTCATAAAACTTCGGCGTCTGCGACTGCAGAGAGATTTTACTCTTCTATTCTACATAAGATATATATTTAAATTTTTAATAGTTTACTAAAGCTACGAAAACGTAGTAAAAGAATTTATCATAAATTTAATTTAAATGGAATTTATGATAAACTCTTTTTGAAAGAATGATTAAAAATCGTATATCGAACGATTCGCTAGGTAACAGAGTGTACGATTTATTTACAATTGTGTCGATTATTGATGAATTCTGGTTCTCTCTCGGCTTTTGTCTTCATTCATAACAGTATCATTCGCGTGCGCAACGTTCGAATAAACCGGCGACAGCAAAGTTGAAATAGAATCGAAAAATATTATATATGTCATCTGTTGACAATTGACTTGAAACTATTTTGCTCGTCGAGCATTTTTTTTATTTCATAATGTTTTATCTTTTATGTATTAAAGTAAAAGAGGGCTATATTTGCAAAGAGGGACATAGGATTACATCTTATCGGAGGGAAAAATTATTTACACTATTACATTATTTTTTGCGATATTGAATGTTACGATAGATGTTACAACATAACAATCCAATTAAATTGGACCAAGTAAAAGAAAAAAATCGCGGATAAATTATTCAAACGACTTCTTCATTTACTAATATGCATCTAGATGTCTATTTATCTATTATCACCTTGTCTATTTTCTCTTACCGTCTTGAAATATAATATATAAATGAATAAACTTAGGCTTTAATGTTATTTAAAACAAAATTATTTTTAATTCGAAATTTTTATTTAAAAGTATAGAGATTTTTTTTAAGAAGTAAATGTAAAATTATATCATTATTGCCTGCCTGCCTTTTGGGATCTCGCAATATTCGAGTGCGCGGAGTTTGAAAAAAAAAATGAGAAGTATGCGAGCATAAATTTTGACAATTACATTGTGTTGCAGAGAGTCACGTGCGTGCGCGTCGTACGGAGACGTGTTGACGTCGGAGGCTGCGAGGGATGCGATTCCCTGAGTTCGCGAGTGACGCCGCGGCAGCGCGACAGCTGCTGTGACCACGTAGAATCCCCTTACGTGTATGCACGTGGACAATAATACAATAACGCAGTGCGTGTGTGAACTGCCGGTGATGCCGGTGTAAAGTGAAGAAACACGGACGCTCTACGCTCGAAACTATTCGAACGTGATCTTTACATCTTGTAATTCATCCCGAGGATAAACGCAGAACAAAGTGAGTCAAGCGTTTTTTATACAGAGAAGCTCTTAACGTGATTCTAAATCCATAGAATTTCGGCAAATTTGATTTATCATGACTGCGTACACGATTATGAGAATGATGCTCATTTAATGATAATTGGTATACTGAAAAAAAATTTGTTAACTTGATTAAGCCTTTCAACTAAATTATTATTTTGTTAATTGAACATATATTAGTATTTAAATTAAATATACGTTTTGTTAGATTTAATATTTATATATACATATATATCTATATATAATTTAAATATTTTTATATGTTCAATTTAAATTAATTTTAATTAATTTCAATTTATAAATTTAGTCACGTTAACAATTTTTTCAGTGCATGAAGTTCTTCTGATCGCGTACATGCAAGAGCAAAATCGAATTTATCAAAATTATACAATTTCAATTTCTCAATTTTTTTAAATTAGCTATTAACTTTCTCAAGACTCTAATAGTTATTTTTTTCGAAAAATCTTGGAGAAGTATTTCGTTGTAGTAATATAAAGAGAAAATTATTCACAAAAGATTTATCCATTTATTTTGCCTAGAGGGATTACAGATTTATTACATGTATTTTGAAAAAGAGTTTTATACTTACATATGATATAAATAAGTTATAAACGTTTTCTTTTTGTAGCTAAAATATTGTCTTGAAAGAGTTAAAGCCATTTTATGGATTTGTAATATAGATTGTTTTCATAGCTTTAGTAACCTTTAATAATTCTTATTCATTTAATTTTTCATGCATTGCTTAATCTGCTTTATATCTTATCTATCATTTCTGTAGCTTGCTTGAAATAATTATTTAAAACTTATTACTCAACTATTCTTCTCTTTTGCTATCAAATAAACAACTATATTTTCATCGCACATTGCTATTAAATTGGCCCTTTATTGAGCTAAATAAACGTTTAGAATATGAATCAACTAAATGAAATTATACTTAAAGAAAAAGAATACATTTAATTAAAGATTCAGGACTTTTAATGTAGGATATTATAAATCTTGATGTGTGTGTATGTATTATAGTTAGTAAAATGATCGGTTGTTATGTTTCAGTTTGTCGTGTATTACGATTTTATTATAGCGAGCGTAACGCGTCACCTTGCTAATCTCAGACGACGCTAATTACAAAGTTAATTTGTTCAAGCGAAACCGTGAGCTTATTTTCTAACAATTATCTTCTGTACGACGGAGATATCTATTTCTTAGCCATTCTGTTTAAGACAGACGAAAGAGCGAAAGATGTTGTAAATTTAAAGAGACGTAGCAAGGACGATAGCGGTACACGGACAAAGAATGAAGGGAGCGAAATGCGCAGACGAATAAAATGAAAGGAAACGAGTGAAAGGAGAGAGGAAAAGAAAAGAAGTAAACAGAAGAAAGGAGATGGAGAACTCGACGAACTTGAGAAACGAGAATCGTACCGGTCTATCGAACTTCTCGTCTGAATGACGATATCTTCCGTTGTTTCTTTCATTCATTCTACTATTAATGGCGCGAGAGTTGTTTAAGTAGATCAAAAAAATTTTTTTTGTAGCTATCACATTGCATTATACTAGGAAGCACTCGTGCATAAATATAAGATCGCTATAAAAATTATACTAATGCAGTTGATGAATAATATATAAGTAAAGTAGATAAGTATAGCAGATTATACATATAACTAGGCATCAGATAATAAATATAATCTATGAATGATTACGTAACTAATGACTGATCGAGGAATTATGAATTTCTCACGATGATGGATTAAATAGCAATGTAGCGCTAATGAAAATTGCATGTTTAAAATATAGCTTCTGAATGTAATTGCTTAATTTTAAAATTTTTTAATTTATATTTGAATTTGTCAAATATAGCACAGTTTTATATACATATTTGCATTGCACGAACATGAATATATGTATATCCTCTGAAGCGCTTGCTTTTGTAATTACTTTACTGCTATTTTATAAATTTTTGTATATGCTTTCAAATATACTAATTATATATGATACGATTCTTAATTTTTGTATTATGTCATTTGCATACTAAGTTTACAAACAAAAGATAATAAATTATGTGGATAAAATGTTTCACATAAAATTGTACATATTTTTAATTCTATTTTATTATCAGAGCACAACTGATTTGTAGTACATCACATTTACAAAGTCTCTTTTACAAATATCTTTTCTTATAATACTTGCGAGAACAGGATTTTATTTAATTGCGTAAGAATGAAACTTGATCGCAAAATCTACTGATTGCGACGTAAAAAAAATATGATGACATTAATTGTATAAGTCTATTGTAACAAAAAGACATCTCATAAATTGAGTTCGCTTTGCATATTATTCAACGGCTTTTATAGTTATAAATCTCGAAAGAATAAATGCGACCAGAAAAGTACCCGCTACAAAACAAAGAACAAAAACATACCAAGTTTCTTCATCAAATATATCGGTAAAGGCTGGAACTTTACTGTAGAGCTCATCAATAAGTTTTAAATTGTAATCTTTATTATTTCCTGTCTCGCTCGCCATTTTTAAATTTTCCTCCTTGCCGTAAATTTAAGATCAATAAAACACGGATGTTGCACGGATATTTTTCCTTTTTTTTTGTATGATCGACTTATTATTGTAATCAAATATTTTGATGAGTATCAAGATTATATTATATATACAGATCAAGCGTTTCTTGACTTCTAGAAAATAGAAAAACCTGCAAGAATATAAATGATTATCGTAATGTTTATTTGGGTATTATTTTCTATAAACTTTTAAATAGATTTGAAGATTAAATCAAATGTTTACGTTATAGACTGACAATTTTTTCGAATTAGTAATTACAGTTTTTCACTTGAATTATTTTATAAAACATGCCAGAAAATAGAACAAAACGATCTCGATATATGTTAAAGAGATATAATTTAAAAATATTTGTTATATTTAAATAGAAACTTAAATGAAAATTTGGATACAAGTCAGAGATATTTAATTTATTACCATTCGATAAGTCGCTAATGTAATCAACCGCGTAGTATTACTGGTCTCTTCTTTTTTCCTTCTTTTTGTCTATGACGCTGTTTCTTTCTTTTTTTCTTCTTTTCTTCGAGCTCTTTTTTAGCTTCAAGCTCAGCTGGATCGGGTGGAACTAAGCTTGTAATATGTTTGTTGTAAAGTTCCAAAATGTTCAGGGACGTTAAAAGAGCTGTTTTTAATATAATTTTTTCTCCTGACTCTGAAAAATAAAAAATCAAAGAGTGAAGTACAATGATTACAGAAGAAAAAAAATAAAAGTTTATTCTAGACAAATGAATAAATAATCAGTTTCAAGTTTACTCTTATTCATTCAGCAAATAGATTTCTTATTAATGCATACAATTTTGTTGAGAATTTATTGTTAGACGAGTCGTGCAGAATTGTGTTTATAAAATCTCCTATACATTTTTCATATCTTGTAAAATATCTTTTTCTTAAATATTTTTTTATAATATGTATATATCATATAATGAATGTTTATATGAACAATTGTTTTTGTGATGTTGATATATTCTAAAATGTGAACGATGAATTTGAATACATAATACTTTTATTATACTCACGAAGATTGAATGTAATAGTTGGATCAGACTTATCACACACGATTTCCGTTTTCATCAAACAATACGGATTTGTTGCACAGACTTTCGGGGAGCTAATGTAATATTGAAAGTTTCTGTAAATAAAAAAAGCGTTATACACGTTATTCTTGTGCGTTATCTGCAATAAAATGTCGCATTTATTTCAGCGCATGTCTGTACATTCTCTTTAAAGGCTATAGAAATTAAATTTTTTATTGCTTAAATCTGTCTCACTCTTTTTTTCTTCTCTCTTTCTATCTTTTAGCTTTGATAGTTTTATGACTTGACAACAAAATAAGAGAATTATGAATTTCCATTATATATTTCAATGTTTATCGTTTCTTTTTGTAGGCAGAATGGCACAAATGGAGCAGCAATTACCGCTTCCAGTGCCAGATTTAAGCACCCTTCGCATAACCACAGCCGTCTCCATGCTTGGCAAAGCATATGGATGTGGTCAATGTAATGGTGAGTTCCGTTCGAATTTAAAACAACAACGAGGAATGCAAAAAATTTTACAACCACCAGAATCGCCAGAAACGTTTATCTATGCACATTGATATTTTATTAGTGATAAAAAATAAGCATAGTCATTCTTATCAATTTGTACATTTTTATGTACCACAGTGAAAATATTCAATTCAAGCCAATTATCTAAAAATATGTTCATAATCTAATTAGACAAATTAGGCATCTTTAAATATTTTAATTGCTATACTAAATTTTCTTATCATCTACTTGTCAATTATCGACTAAAAACAGAACAAATAGTAGGCAGATCAAATAAGGGATTCTAAAAATAAAAAAAAAAAGAAAAGGACGATCAGGCTAATCGAGATGACGCGAATTTGATTGACAGTAAAAATTTAGTTATCCGATAATTTAATATTAAAACGAGAGAGGTGGATGACTCACGTCGCGAACGGTATCGATTGTGTACAAACGTCAAAATAAGCACAGTTGCACATTTCAAAGGGCGGTAGGAAGAAACTATCTCGTTTTTTGCTCGGCTACGCATGCTGCAATTTGTACCTGCGGATTATCCTGGAAATGTATATACCGGAACACGAATCAGCTCGAGAATTTTCCGCGGTTAAAACACTTCCCCAACTAATAACGCGCACACGAACGAGACACTTCTATAAATAACAACGGGGTTGTGGCTCGTCTGCTAGCCTAGCGCGAAGGGTGCGACTTGCGCGTGCGTGCATTATCGACGTCATCGGTCCTCGCTAACCTGACCTGACCTGACATTTCGCGGTGGTTGATCGTTACTCTGTTTTATACTCTCTTGTAGAATGATTCTGTTTATAATTATATATGTTCGATACAATTAATTTTTATGCATACAAATAACATGTGTCATTCAAGTATCAATATTTCTAGAAATTTTAATTCAGGTTTCGGTCGCGTTTTTTAAAATAATTCTTTTAAAAAATGATTTTTAAAATTTTACATGAATTATTTAATCGATTCAATACTAAATTAACTTAATTGAATTTTGACACATTGCATAATAAAGAGAATGATTACGTTAATTATGACTGACAATTTTACATAAACGTTTTCATGCAATTTTAGTAAAATTATTTGTAACTTTTTGGGAATTAAAAAAGAGCGAATACGATTTTGACAACATATTTTTTATTAAAAAAAAATAGTCGAGAATGCAAAGTTTTACGACACCAATCGCATTTCAAAACTTCCGCGGAAATCACTGCGATGTGGGGGACAACTTTAGGAGACTAACCTCGTATGCCTGACATGTCTGTGGAACGGATCGAAACGAAAGTCGATCTTTTTAACCGGTGTTAAATTAACGCGCTTTAGCTGCGCTATGATTGCGGAAATCACCCCGGCAGAACGCGATCGGCATCCACTGAAGGGGACCGACATTTCGAACAACGAAATGCAAAACGCGTAATCGTGCGCCGCGATGAACTCTCGCGATGTCGCCGGAACTTGCCGTGTCAGTGTTGCCAACCGACTGATTTTATTATAAGTTGGCAACAAGTTCCGCAGTGTGCGCGCCGGTCTTGCGCAATAGCTTGATTGATAATTATTATCATCGGATCGATAATTTCTTTTTTTTTTTTTCAAAATTATAGGTATATATTTTCAATTATTTACAAATTAACACTTTTAATATCAAGCACGAGAGTATATATTTATATATATATATTTTTATTTAATATATTAATGTTTTAATATATTAATATATTTTTCATATATGATATTATATATTATTATATATTTTTTATATATTTAACACGCGATATATAAGAAGAAATTATGAGAGATGTTTTAAAATGCAATATCTTTTTTTATCAATGTATTTACGTATATATGAAAATACATATGATGTAACATGAAATTATTTCTTAATTCAAGGTTAATATTACATAACACCCTACTTTTAGGGCCAATTGTTTCAACTCTTGGTAAGTTTTACCCGACAAGTAGCATATCTTTGTCTCTTTTTTTAGAACTTATCTGAAAAGAGACGACAATATGCTGTCAGGTAAAACTTACCGAGAAGTTGGAAAAATCGACCCTTAATGTGATATGTATATATATTAGATTGAGATTTATGAATATGACAATTTTTAAAAAATAAATGGAATTTTCAGAGAGAGAAAAAAGAAGACAAAAAAAATGGCATATCAATTAAATCTTCTAAATACATTTTCATTCATTATTCATGTTTTAAATGAAAAATAATTTCACGTTCATCAAAACGATGCGATATTCCGACTTATAATATTATATTAATATATTATTATTATTGTAATATTATATTGTATAATCCGAAAAATGAGATCGATTTTGAAATCCCGCGCTAAGGTGGCGCTCTCTGGGCGCGACTCGCGGCTCGAAAAAATAATTCCTTCGCGCGGGCACTTCTCGGAGAGTCGGTTAGTCCAGGTTGGTCGCAGTGCGGCCAATGGGCGCCGGGCTAGCGGACGCCATTGCGGATGGACAGTCTCGTTCGGTGTCGTTCGCAGTGTGTGTTGTGGGGAAGCGTGTGTAGTGTGGCCAGCGGGGTCTTGTGTTGAATTTTTACTTATTTATTAGTGGTTATCTGGTCTTTTACGCTCGGCGCCAGCGAATATGTTCCCCGCAGGACAACGTGAGTGTCACTGCGTCGTCGTACCCGTTCGGGATGATCGCGAAAGCTCCCGTAAACACGTTGAAAAACGTTCCCCGCTGACATCCGCGAGCTGGCGAGGGGCCTCGCCAGCCCGCGGATTCTATCTCGCTGATCCCTAATCTCGCTCGGCCGTCGTGCTGTCCCTCGGATTTTTTTTACTTTTCCTCCTAACACCGATAAGTCCTGCTGGAAAATCCGTCTGTCTTGTCTCGGAAAAACCTCGCGGGAGGGGAGGGACTTGCGACGCCCGTGCGTGATCCTCCGCGGAAGATTCGCTCAATGACCTCGGATGAACCTCGTTCAACAGGCACGCGTGTCGTCATTCACCCGCGATTCGATTCATGAATCTCTACGCGTTAGCTAATCCTAGTCTAACGACTTGCTCCGTCTCTTTCTAAATTACGAGCTTATCGTACGGACCGAAGAATCCGTGTCTTTAGGCCTAAGCGAACTCGAGTAGGATAGGCTGACTAATGGCCTTACAGCCTTTATTGGCAAATTGATGATTTTTCTCATGACATTTCTTTCATTCTATATCCGGATTTATAGCATAGATGGAAAATTAAGCCTGCATTTAGGCAAATTTATTAACTTTATAGGAGTGTGTGTGTGTGTCATATATCTTGGATAAGTTATGTAGTAGAAGATTGGTTCATGCTTATCGGAAGCATTTTTTTAAGCATTTACATGTTAAATTATTTTAAAAATAGTATAAGATTATGAAACTAATATATTATGAGATGCTTTGATATTATTTATTTTATTTTATTATGCAATTTTTTTTATGCCATAATCTGTTAGAGTTTAGTTTTTGATAAACCAAGTAGATTCAAGAAATATATATTTAAAGATCACATTACAATCTGAAATTGCTTCCAGGAAGATTTGTCTTTACCGCTATAAATTTATTGTATGAGATTTATTTAATGACAAAGTGTTTTCATTTTTTATTTCTTTATAATCTGTGCAATTTATGCAATTTTCAAAAATTGTTACATAAAGAAAAAGATTTTGTACAGTAATAATGATAGTAAAATATTTTTAAAAAAATAGTTTGTTGACACACCCACTTTTAAAATTAAAATTAATATTTTTTTAATGAGATTCTTAATGAAATAATATAATATTTTTTTTTATAGATTTGTAATACAAATATTCCTTGCATAGACATAATGCATTTCTTGCATAAGTTTACAATTATGAATTGGTCAATTTTTTGAAATTACAGACAGTGAAAGCTGTGCAAAAGATTTTATAAACTCAATCAAGCATATAAATATTAGATATCATGACAGAATAAAAAGTGTGTGAACCAAAGAGATACAACAGTAGTAATTGTTGATTTAATGCATATTTTGTCAAAAGTAATATAACTTAGCAATGTGCTAATACAATTATGTCTATTAATTTTCAATATCAAGTTATGTTTTTTCATCTTCTATTTCTTTAACTATGATATGATAGTGTTACCATGTTTATATGCTTGATACTTTATCTTTATATTGAATTTAGTATATCATCTGTTGAATATGAAGATGTTGAGAAAGAATATTTCGTTAATTATTTTGTTAAATGTCTAGAGATATTTTTTTGCATTTGGTTACAATCACTGATGTTACACGTAGAAAAAAAAGAACTATAAGATATTGTAATCTGTTAACTTTGACTGAAAAAATTTTCTTCTTATTGAGCATTTAATATTAAATTTTTCATTAATTATTTGATGTGTGCAATACCTTGTGGACTATTATTATTGCGCATAGATATTCGTTGCTGTACGATCTGATTATAATAAACTGAGCATCCCAGAGAGAAATAAAAGATGCAAAGTTCAAGTATGTAATATTATTCTCCACATAAATATAGATAAAGTCATAACTGATGCACTAACTTTTTGAGAGATATTTTATATTATTTTATATATATTTGCAGCTCCCCCACCTGGACCTTCAACAAGTGGTGGTTCTGTTGGGACAGCAGCGGGAGTAGCGGCAAGTAGTGTCGCAGCTCCCAGCAATATGGGGCTTGTTCCCGCACAACAGGCACACACTCCTCCTCAACCTACAGAACTGCCAAGTAAGTATATTTTATAATTCTGTCAAAGCAAACTGCTCTCTGCTAAATAAAAAATTGATTAAAAATTAGTTTTATTTGATATTTAATTATAATATTCTTTTTATCTAGTGTTTACGTGCCCTCGAAGACCAAACATAGGACGAGAAGGCAGACCGATCGGTTTGCGAGCCAACCACTTCCAAATTAGTATGCCACGCGGCTATGTTCATCATTATGATATTAGCATACAACCTGATAAATGTCCTCGGAAAGTTAATAGAGAAATTGTAGAAACTATGGTTCATGCATATACTAAAATATTTCAATCTCGTAAGCCTGTGTTTGACGGCAGAAATAACTTGTACACAAGGGACCCCTTGCCAATCGGGCATGATAAAGTAGAATTAGAGGTAAGTTATCATGAAATTGAAAAGTTTAAATTATATTGCATGACATTTACAAGTCATATATAACTTTTTTTTGCAGGTTACACTGCCTGGTGAGGGTAAAGATAGGGTTTTTCGTGTGGTGATAAAATGGTTGGCGCAGGTTTCGCTATTTGCTTTAGAAGAGGCTCTAGAGGGACGAACTAGACAAATTCCATATGATGCTGTTCTCGCTTTAGATGTCGTAATGAGGCATTTACCATCTATGACATACACTCCAGTAGGTAGATCATTCTTTAGTACGCCAGAAGGATATTATCATCCATTAGGCGGAGGCAGAGAAGTATGGTTTGGATTCCATCAATCAGTTAGACCATCACAATGGAAAATGATGTTGAATATTGATGGTAAGTACACGGAAAATAAATTTTCAAATATTACTATATCTTTATGATTTTGTTACTTATCTATTTGTACTTCTAGTTTCTGCCACTGCCTTCTATAAAGCGCAGCCAGTTATAGAATTTATGTGTGAAGTATTGGATATCCGAGATATCAACGAACAAAGAAAACCATTAACAGATTCTCAAAGAGTGAAATTTACCAAAGAAATCAAGGGTCTCAAGATTGAAATAACTCACTGCGGAGCTATGAAACGAAAGTATAGAGTGTGCAATGTTACACGTAAACCAGCTCAAATGCAATCGTAAGTATATATTAAAATAATGATACCATTAGAATAAAAAAGAGAAATATACAACACTGTAATTATTGTCAACTTGCAGATTTCCATTACAACTGGAAAATGGACAGACAGTCGAGTGTACTGTTGCCAAATATTTCTTAGATAAGTACAAAATGAAATTGCGTCACCCACATCTTCCTTGCTTGCAAGTTGGCCAAGAACATAAACATACATATTTGCCGCTTGAGGTTTGTGTGTAAACTTTTAACTTGTAAACATATTTTATAGAGAATATAAAATAATTACATATGATTTTGTGATATTATAGGTTTGCAATATTGTTGCTGGACAACGTTGCATTAAGAAGTTAACTGATATGCAAACCTCGACCATGATCAAAGCTACAGCACGTTCCGCACCAGATCGCGAACGGGAGATTAACAATCTAGTTAGAAGGGCTGACTTTAACAATGATTCTTATGTACAAGAATTTGGATTGACTATATCGAATAGTATGATGGAAGTCAGGGGTCGTGTATTACCTCCGCCCAAACTGCAATATGGAGGGCGCGTAAGTTCCCTCAGTGGACAGGTGAGAAACTTCCAACTAAATCAGTCAGGTCTAGTCGAATCACACATTTGCAAGAACTAATAATTTTGATTATTTTTAGCAATCATATTTTTGTAGTATTGGATATGTGTGTGTTCGATGAATAGTATTATATTTTCTAGATTTTATATATATATATATATATATATATATATAATCTGTGAAGTAAAGCTGTTAGAGCTGATGGATATAAGGCATTCTCTTATTCTGATTTGAACGTACATTCAATATTTGATTTGCATTTCATGTAACATAATATCAGTCACATTTATATGTTTCTAATTTATATTTACAAAAATTATATATATAATATATACATTTATGTATTATGTATTAACATTTATGTAAATAATAAGATTACGTTTGATATATATCTATACACATGGCCAAAAGTTGTCAAATGAATGCATGGGTTCTAGACCTGGTTGATTTGATATCTGGGCTGTTAGTGTAACGAGTATTCAAACTAATATCGTGATAAATTATAAATGATAGACATTTGACAAAAATGTACAGTTTTTCTCCTATAGTGGTAGAGAATCATAGCTTACGGTTTACAAATGTAACTGATGTTACATTTGCAGTCCGATATCATTTGTGAAAGTCTGATGTTATCAGTATTTTCCATGCAGTGTAGTAAAAATGTCCCTAATTATTTATAATCTTTTTCAGTAGATTTAAAATTGTAAAATTGTTTTTATTTAAAAACGATATAATATGCGAATAAAATGTATGAAAAAAATACACTTATGTGTGGAAATACTGATGCATCTACTATAATTATATATGTATTATTTAAATAATTTGCTTAAGCACTCAATAATGTTATGTCTTTCTCTTTCTCTCTCTGTCTCTAAAGACGAAACAACAGGCAATGCCTAATCAAGGCGTGTGGGATATGCGTGGCAAGCAGTTCTTTACTGGAGTAGAAATTAGGGTGTGGGCAATTGCTTGTTTTGCACCACAAAGAACAGTACGCGAAGACGCGCTGCGTTCATTTACAACGCAACTTCAGAAAATTAGTAACGATGCTGGCATGCCCATCATTGGGCAACCATGTTTTTGTAAATATGCTACTGGACCGGATCAAGTCGAACCCATGTTTAGATATTTGAAAATGACTTTCTCGCAGTTGCAGCTGGTTTGTGTTGTATTACCTGGCAAAACTCCTGTATATGGTAATTATATATGCTATATAAATTTTTTTCTAGAATATCCCAGAATTAATTACATGTTTTACAAGTGCTAAAACTGAACAATTCTATGTAACTTTATATTAAATCAAACTAATTTGTTCTCAATTTCTTTTTTAGCTGAAGTGAAAAGAGTAGGAGATACATTATTAGGCATGGCGACTCAATGTGTACAAGCGAAAAATGTCAATAAGACATCACCGCAGACATTATCCAATCTCTGTCTTAAAATAAATGTCAAATTAGGAGGCATCAATAGCATTCTAGTACCTAGCATAAGACCGAAAGTGTTTAACGAACCAGTTATATTTCTTGGAGCTGACGTAACTCACCCGCCGGCGGGAGATAACAAGAAACCCAGTATAGCCGCTGTTGTGGGCAGCATGGATGCCCATCCTTCTCGATATGCAGCTACAGTTAGAGTTCAACAGCATAGACAAGAAATTATCCAGGAACTCAGTTCGATGGTTAGGTAAGCGATTCGAATTAATTATTAATAGTAAAATAAAAATATGTTATTAATATATTTATATATTATTATTATTAAATTATTAATTTTTTCATTTTTTTTACATTTAAATATGCAGAGAATCGGGTGATATTTCAGTAAATGTGATAACAGAATGTTTTCAATGAGAATATTTTATTATGAATTTTATAATAAATATCATATAAAATTAAATGACAATTACATGTTTAATATTTGTGATTCGTGTTCACTTTATTTTTTGCGCTGTTAGTACATCTAACGATATTTTTTTTCTTTTAGGGAATTGCTTATAATGTTTTACAAGAGTACGGGCGGATATAAGCCGCATAGAATAATTTTATACCGCGATGGCGTTTCCGAAGGACAATTCCTCACTGTTCTGCAACACGAATTAACTGCTATTCGTGAGGCGTGTCTCAAGCTCGAGATCGATTATAGACCCGGCATTACATTTATCGTCGTACAGAAAAGGCATCACACTCGTTTGTTCTGCGCAGACAAGAAGGAACAAAGCGGGAAAAGTGGAAATATCCCGGCGGGCACAACTGTCGACGTGTGTATAACTCACCCAACGGAATTCGACTTTTACCTTTGCAGTCACCAGGGTATTCAGGTAAACTTATCAGTCTTTACACAAGAACACGATTGTTCCAGATGCGCCATGTGCATCTCTAAAATTTGTCTATTTTAGGGTACATCGAGACCATCGCATTATCATGTACTTTGGGACGATAATCACTTTGAAAGCGACGAATTACAATGTCTCACGTATCAACTGTGTCACACTTATGTCAGATGCACGAGATCCGTCAGTATACCTGCACCGGCGTATTATGCTCATCTTGTAGCGTTCCGGGCCAGATACCATTTGGTCGAGAAAGAGCATGATAGGTACGTTATGATTTTTTGTCGTCATAAATGAAGTTAAATTGTGAGGTGCTTGGGCCTTTGCCGATTATGTTGGAATTGTGGCGTCAGAGACGAGAAAGCATATGCTAAAAATTCTTGCGTGCCATTATTAGATAAAAAGATATTTCGATAACATCACTTCAGATGGCTTCATTCAGCACACTTAAAATATTTCAAAAACTATCCTTTCCCTTTTATAATCAATCTACAACTGTAAAATGTAATATGAGATCCAGTTCGTCTGGTCTTTGCATCTGCGCAGTCATTCCACATGATAAAGTCTGATATTATAATTATGTTACGGTTGTTGATTGATTGTCAAAGGACAAAAAATAGTTTTCAGACTATTTTGAAAGTATGCTAAAGCTAAAGCCGTGTTCGAGTTTTTATCGCATCATAATTTTGTTTTAATTTTACAGTGGAGAAGGTTCTCATCAGTCGGGTTGTAGTGAAGACAGAACACCGGGTGCGATGGCACGAGCAATCACGGTTCACGCCGACACGAAACGAGTTATGTATTTCGCATAATTCTGTTCTTCGAATCGAAATGGCGTACGGGTTCAGTCTTGCTTATTTCTGTAAAAAAAATGACTGTACATAATTGCGGTTCTGTGACTGGTAAAACCGACGAGGGAGCTTCATCGGATAGCTGAGAACAGTCGCAGCGCAACTATAGTGCATCGCGTCACAAACTCCTGGACTATTTAAGCTAGAGCGATGATTGAATGATTAATCTCTGTACTTTCTTCTTTGCTTTTTCTGTCTCTTTTCTGTCTTTTTTATCGAGTCTACACGATAGCTTTTTATTTTGTATGCGTGACATATTGTATGTTGTATTTACATCTGTACAGAAGGAGAGCGAGTGATTTTTTTGATTGATTTTATGAACTTTGTAGAGTAAGTTTATGAGGGTGCTTTTAATTAATGCGCGCGCAGGTTTAAAATCAGATTAAGCCATTTTTCACTGGTAAACAAAGCCATCTGCAAAAGTAGATTGAAAGTAAACTAAACAAGTTTTCTTCTTTATGGAAATTAAGGTAGAATTAGGTGGTGAAGATGATTGTGTGTGAAAAACCAATAACAGATTGAGTTTAAGTCAAATATGAATTTCTGTTGCACTATCGAGATATATAATAGCACTTTTCGACTTAAATTACTTCACAAGGAAATTAGTGCGGCATATTACGCTTATTTTTTTAGGGAACGCGTTTTCCCTAGCATTTGTGTGCAAATTAAAGAGACGAAGAACAAAAGAACCAAAATCATGATTGTATAAATCGCTATGCGAGACTGTTATCCAGTTGTATGTGTGTATAGTTTTTATTTCGCGAGGAGTTTGGAACTCCCTTCTGTAAATTATGTAAATTCTAGATCTCTAATCATGCTGAAAAAATTGGCATAATAAAAGGTAATTAGTCGGTTGATAACGATGATAATACCTTTAGGATTGTGAGTTACATTATGTCATATCTGCAGAGTCATAATGCCGCTATCTTTTATACGAGATGCACTTTTAAAGTATAAATCACTCGTAAAATCATTTTATAAAAATAATCCTGATGTATTCTCAAAAAACCGATAAAACAACACCAATCTGTGTGTATACTTCGGCTAAGTAGCTTAGTGGATAAGAAAGAACATAATATTCGTACATAAAGACAATTATGTAGCAAAACTAGCCGAGAAAGATGTTATATAGAGGACTCGCGCTATTTATGTGACTTTCGTCATAATTTTTAACGGCTTTAAGTGTCTATTTGAAAAAAAATAATATCGAGAGCCACTCTCGATACTTAATATGTCAATATAACTATGATGTATTCGAGAGTTACTCTCTCAAACGGACATTTTAAGCTTTAGGATTGAAATTTAGCATAATTTAATCGAATACGGTCATTTTAACGCTCTACTAATTGTTAGAATGTATATTTTATTCGTTTCATTTAATTTTTCATTAAGTCGCGTTATCGTCTGCACGTTGCACACAGCTCATAATCTATGCTTACAATTATTAATTACACTACTGAACGAGAAGAGACAGCTAGGATATAATTCTAAGAATGTATACAACTTTATCTGTGTTAAATCTGCGTATCATCTGAGAGTATTTAGGAATGAAAGTAAACGGATATCCGTGTCTGGTGTCCGAGATAAGCCGGGGCGTTATCTACTCAGATAAAAAAATAATGGCTATGAATAAGCCGAATTTATATGGCATTAAATATGGGCCGATAACAAGGCTTCTTCACAGAGCGTGCAAGAAACTTCGGAAATAAAAAAAAATAAATCGCGATATCGATGTAGTATGAAATTATGCAACGTAAAGAAGAATTAGTAATTACGATTAGCTATTGCTTTAAAAAGAGTGGATTGTAAAAACCAAGATTAGCTGTAAGAGTATTATACGAATAAGACATTTTATCAATTTTAAGAGAATAATTATCTGTTTGCTTGATAATGCCAAACTTTAGGGATTTCATATTTTTACTCTAATGGTCACGATTCTTGTGCAAATCTATTTCAATAATCTTTTGGAACAATAATTACTAATAATTAAAATATAATAAGAGCAAGCCTTGGAAATAACATGTATAATCCAATTTATGAAGTAAGATCATATATTAATAGTTTGAAAATTCTATTAATATATGAACAGACATCGTAATATATGATATAATTATGTATCAATAATTCATCGCGTTAAATTATTGTGTATTACTGTTAGAATCATTAATATATATCTCAAGATTTTTTTTCTTTTTTTTTTTTTTGTACAATTATACGAGTACTAGCATAGAATAATCGAATTGCCGTACTATGATTCTGACAGTTTGTAAATCAGTATTAATAATAACAATGCTTTTATTGAGAGAGAATTTTCTTGAAAAATTATTTTGTTTTGTTAAACCACCGATTGATACATGCAAAAGAAAGAGCGGAAATGCTATCTTCGACTGTATTAATGATTCTAATGTTAGATTTATAAAGGATATAATGTTACTATTATATCGGAAAGTATGGAAAGAGGACCTTGATCTATTAGTAATATTTATTCTAGTTGTTAAAGCATGTGGAACTTAAAAGTTAAATCTGTATTCTCGGCCCGTACTAGACGCAGCCACAGTTGTAACGAATATCTAGAATTCGTGATTTTTAGGTGAAGCGTTATTTCTTTTCGGGCACATCTGCGCTAATAACTACATAATACAGCTTTTATTATATCTAAAACCTGTTTTGAAACAACATAGGCGTAAACGTAGTTTCAATAATGTAGTCAGAGGATGAGGCGGATAAAAATATTGGAAAAAATATTAAATGAGGAGAAATTGAGATGGAGATGGATAAAATATTGGTGAAATATTAAATAAGAAGAAAAAACATAAAACAAAAAAAGGAAAAGATTATTTATTCGCGTTGTTGAAGATGCACACAGGTACCAAATGTGAATGAGCGACAACAAAATCATAGGGATCGTCACTTTATCAATCGTAAGTGAGTACGACTGATAAAGCGACGAAGGAATGAATGTTATTAGATTCTAAGGTAAATTATAGACAATGCAAATTAGATTTTAAGGCAAATAAGAATTAATTAAGCTGCTATAATAATGTAATCGAGTTCCCAGTGCATACCAAAACGAGATTGGACATAGTGATGAATCGCAAACTTTATTCATTTAACTTTTTTTTACATACAAATCGAAGTATATTAATGGTATACGAACTCTTACATTCAGCTGTCAAATTTCTCTCCAAGATTTAAAAGGCATATCCTCATTTAAATAATTTATATGGTTCACAATGCAACTTCGTGTTCGCAAGGGAAATGAAAGGAAATCTGTGAGTCGCATATCATAAAGTATCCTTATGAATGCGGACGTGTCGGATGATGTTATACAATCGACTGCATGATGTACCTTGTGTTTTCATCTTTTCGTGTTCCTTCGAAAGCAAGAAATTCGGCTCAATATTTTTTCTTGCGCCTGGAATGAAAACAGGACTAGAAAAAATTGAGACTACGAAAAACGAGACTAGTTCTTCTCATTTGTAAATACACATGTCAATAATTTATTTGTAAATGATCTCTTTCGGCGATAAAAATGACATTACATTTCTATAAACGTGATTTGAGATAAGAATGTATTGCGCTATGTGCAAAATGTTTCAAGTATTTCACATTTTTTCTTAGCTGTAAATTGCTTGACGACTAAGGTCGATATTTCTTAATGAGAATGTGTAATTAGAAACTATTAACTATTGCAGCTTTATAATTCAATGTTTTTATTACTGTGAAATTTTTTGTCAAACTTTAAGAGTTCATTTTAACAATGTTTCTATTTCATACTCTGTTGCAGCTTGATTTGCTAAAAATTAATTTTGATATTGAAAAATATTGTAAAATTAAGCCTTTGTGAAAGTCTTTGCCGGGGACAAATCAACTACAGATTTATTAGAAAAATTGCAACTGATGACTAATATATGTACATTCAAATTCAAAGTGTATAAAATTAGAATATGTAAAAAAATCGAGTGAAACTGAGAAGTTGAAGTAAAGAAGTAAAATTTAGAAAGGAGTTAATTATAATTTCATAGTATGCAACTATGAGATGTAAAGTTTAATGTAAGGTAAATAATTTATATTTGTATATCTACAAATATATATATATATATATATATATATATATATATATATACACATATTACACGCGCACACACATACACACACAAGATTATAGCAAAATTACTGTATCTCTATATGTTATTAACTTCTCTTATTAAACTAGTAAGTTTTATCTTAATGAAAAGTCAAGGGTATATCTACTGTTCCAAGATTCGCATTCAACAGTCTCCTAAGCTTATGTTATAAAAAAAAGTTAACTTGCACGAGTAATAAGTAATAATTAAATCACTATTGCGTAATATTAATTTTGTAATATTTTCAAACTGTTGTACAAAATGTAATATTTTGCGAAGCTATTCCGTCTCACGTATGCATGGCATTTTTAAATTTGTAAGATAAATTATATATATAAAAAGAATATTATTTTCGGTTTTCAAATTTTTGTTTTGTTAACATAGGAGACATGCGTATGAAAAGTAGAAATACTGAAATCTTCAAGCTTTCTCGCTAAATGTTGACTTTTTTCTGAGACGTTAGCGACTTTATTATATACTGTAAACTCGCTTATTACTACTTAAGGCGTGTGCGAAAAATATATAAGTTTCAAAGTATCAGCTTTAAGAGTGCCAGCGTCCAATGGATGAAACGATCGATAATAGCGTGACAACGGGGGACAACATTAGCGTTAGATATAGTTTTGTCTTTAATTTCTAAGTGTACATGCGCTGTTACTACGAGTACGCTATGATAGTTACTCGGAAGAGGAAGCCCGTCTCTGAAATATGAATAAGTACGGCGAGTCTGGAAAAAGATAATAAGACAAACGCGACGCAGGAGAACGACTGGGATTAGTAATTTAACATAAAAGTAACGCTTTATGTAGATTAAGTCGTTTTGTTGACGATAGGAAAGGGGGATGATTTTAACGCCGAATTTCCAAGTGTCTAATTCTGGCAACTATGCATTTTTCTTCTCTGTTTCTGTCCTATAACATGTACTACAATGTTTAATTAGCGTTAAGAAAAGAAAACCATTCGATGATTATATCTAATTTTGTGGATCGATTTTCTCTAATGAAATAGCTAATAATATCACGTTTTTGAGAGACTTGTACGACAAAAACAGAGATAAATGATAGATATCTCACATTGCTTTGTCATACAGGACAACAATGGGGGCATTAACGATATTCTTTTCGTTAAAATTACATTCGATGAATGTTTGACATTTCTATTATAATCATATCAATTATGTGTTAATCCACGACTTGTCATTGTCGATTCGAAATTCTGCTCTAGATGTAATAACGATGGCAGCTGGAGATGGCTCTATTGAGATACGATTTTTTTTATAGTTGAATAAAATACACATAACGAAGTTATCGAAACTGCCGAGTATATCATTTGTCATTAAAAAGATTTAACATTTTTTACATTTAAATGCAATAATAAATTATGTATAAATACAAAAGTATCTATATATTATTATTGCATTTGTGACATTACAGTTTGTACTTAATTCTTTATATATAATATTGATTAAATTATATATTTCGCGTGGAATATGTATTATTAATATTAAAATCAAAGTATTCGAAGAATTTTTTATTACGTAAAATTTGAGAATTTCCTCGATGTAATTGTGCTGTGAAATTGTTTAGCTCCTCAAATGAATTATCTTTTACACTCAGGATTTGAATTTTTACAGTCGTGTATCAGAAGTTGCAGTAAATTTATATGTGTATAAACTGTGTATACATATAAATTTTGAAGCAAATTAATGTAATGTTTACGAGAATAATATGAATTAAAGAATTCCAGAGTAAGGAATAAAAAAAAATTAACATAAATGTAATTAGCAATGGATATCGACAAATACGTGAAAGACTGAACGTAATCTGTCGTGGATTAACATTTTATTTAAAGTCTGATGTTCGAATTGAATCGCTTATATTTCATAGCTCTCTTTTTTACCAGCTAAAAGCAAAAGAAACCAAGAAATAATGCCAGTTATATTTACTTGTGACAAAAGTAATTTATTGTTCATCGAATAATTTCTGTAAACATTAGTCAAAGATAACAGAGATTGAAAGCTAAAAAGAAAGATGGAAAAATGTCTTCAAAGGTTCAATGCAACAGCGATTTGACATTTATTAAAAACTTTAAAAAAATTGTATAAGTTTTCAAATTTAAAATATTAAAAAAATTTTATCTACACATTTTTTTTAATCTACAAAAATTATGCAAAATATAATTCTTTCAATTTTAAGATATTTCTTAAAGAAAATATATGCTTATATATTATATGCTGATTTCTATAGTTGCGGATTTTAAATTCTTAAAAAAACTGCTGTGCATTGAACACTTTAATCTCAATAAAGTCTTACTAATGTTTATAGCTATGATTTACAATTCTGCGAACACGATAATATCGATGCATTCGAAAAACCTCGAGATCCCACCGTTCGCGAAAGACAACTTATTATATAAATTTTCTGTATCTACAAGTGCCTGGCGCTTCGTCCGCGCGTATTTGACGTTTGCAAAACAATAAGGTTGAACGTATGAGTAATGACTTTCGAAATTCTAAAAGGAAGGACCGGAGCGAGAGGAAAGAGAAAAAAGTAAGGCGATTGTGAGTTTTGAAAGGCGCGGTCGATAATAATTAATTGATTAAGGGATCGTAAGTTTAAGTGGATAGGTACTTGTTAAGGGAAGGAAATGCTGCGAAATGGCGAAAGTCGGCGAGTTGCCCAACTTGGCCGCGCGCTGAAAGTATAAACTTAAATTATGTCTGTTGTCTTAATCACGCCTGGTCAAAATGAGTAAATATTAGATGTAAGATATACATACATATATATATATATATATAGTGTACGAAATATATATATTTATGAATGTCGGACAAATAAGTCTTAAATAATTAATAACCCAATAATGTGTATGTATGTCGTACACGATCACACGGTATCCTTGATTCATTAATTTCGAGCACACGCCTGCACAATAATGCATGTTTATCATCGTACGTTAAATATCGATAGTCCTTGTAAGAAGAAGTATTTATTGTGAAAATCGGCAAGACGGAGAAAAATCGTAACAGGCAGCGCGTTGCAAACAATTTATGAACGCTCTATATATCATGTTAAATAAATTATGAAATATTTGTTATTGAGCAATGCGAACGAAAAAAAGGACAATAGTCAGAAGTAGCTATTATTCGTTTGCAAATGATGTTAATCGTCTCGGACAATAATTTTGTTCTGAAAACATGTCGGCGACCTGTTGCGACTTCTTTCGAACGACATCTTCAGAGATCTCGCTCCTAATTCTAGAAATTCAATAATCGAACTTTCATACACGTATAAATAAAAGAAAATTGTATAAATATAAATAATAAATATAAATAAAATTTTATATAAATCAAACATATTTTTAACAAAAAAGTAATAATAATTATTTTATCTTGAGATTGTCGAGTTGTACAAATTAGGAGCACGGAATTAAGTAACTCGCTCTCATTCGTTTACATTGCTTGATATCTGACTTTGCAAAAAAAGTCAGCCGGCAGAACAAAAAAAAATACCATTGCAACCATAAAGATGTAATTCGTATAAAAACGAAATCACATCTTTTTATAAATTATAATGTAAACCTCCGGTGTGTTATATGTGTCTCTCTGAATCTTCGATCATCGATCGAGTAATCGTCGTATGCAGATGTCGTGAAATTCATTTATTTAATAGCTAAAAATTGAGATCGATTTTTTTCGGTAATTTTTCCAAATTGCATGTTTAACAAATTTTTGAACTGACAGCTGACCGATCATATCTCGATGATTTGACAAATCAAGCAGCATTTTTGAGTTTGAGTTTCGAATCACATATTTATCAGAGTTTAATTTTATATTGCTACTGTATTTCTATGTGCGATTAAAATTATTATTATTATCATATTGTTGCAAGTGGAATGTGTGGTATTTTAATTGTAGCTATATATAATAATAATTTATATAATATATACATTAATTATTATTGTTATTATTAGACTATATGGTTAACTTAATGGCATGTTGTTTTAAAAATTTATATTTTACATCAAACACATCATCTGTTTAAATACATCTCTTCTCGAGATGCTTAGAATTTTTATGCCATCGAAAATGATTGTTGGATTAAGACTCTTCTTATTAGTTAATCAAATTTTCTTGTGCTAAATTGTGGCTTCTGAATTTTTGTAAAATATTCCGATTATATATTCTGCTGTTGTTATGTTTGTAATCATTATATTTATTACGCTCGCTAATTACGTTTGCATTACAAGTCGATCGACGATTGCTTTCATCTGGAAACGCGAAAGAAGAAAAAGTCGATTACATCCGTGATCTCAAAATGCACTTCTAAGAATAAACATTTGTCACCAGTGCTAATGGAGTTACAATAATGCGTGAGCATAGTTTTTAGTCTGTCACGATGTAGTTGAAATTCTCTCCGTTATTGTATAATTAAAATTAAAGTACGTACGTATATCGTCCCTATATCATTCTACGAAATTAAGAAATTAATGAGAATTATGCATAAAAAATTTGTGTAAAAATGAGACGTATCGCGTTTCATGTATATAATATAATGTTAATTGAAATATACAGAAAAATCAAGAGCAGAATTTTAAAATCTCGTGCAGATTTTTAAAGAAAGTTACATTAAGTCAATATTTTGCGTAATATTATAATGATGTAATATTGGCGGACGCACGATTCGTTTCTCTATAAATCAAGTGGCTCTTAAACTGTCAATATTTTCGTCGATGCACACATCTTTTGATATGTATCATTAATCACACATTTATCGTTAACTATCTGTCGTACAGCTTCATTGAGCTCACATCTGTTTTCTTCTGTAAAAGCATACAATATTTAAAAACATTTAAATCTAAGAAATATACTTAGTCTTGTAATGTCTTTTTGTTATATTTGATGTATATAAAAAGCTACTGTTTTATTTTAGTGGATGTCAATTATAACAATTTGCAGAAACAGATGTGAATTTAATAAACTTATTGGAATACTCTTGACCAACAGATTAAGGATTATATATTAGTTAGCTAGTAATGGAATATCGACAATAAATGTTGATAGTTTACAGAGCTCTAATAAGATAATAAAAGAACGACTTTTTTTGTTCGCTAATGTTTAATAGATGAATGTGGAAAATCTGAAAGCGCGAAATAGTTTTCTCGGACAGAATATTTCAAACATTAACGTTTCGTCATGTTGTCAAAAGTACATACTTATTACTGTAAAGAAAAATAATTACATGAGAGAATCCCTGTAATTATACACGTACATATGTTTTCAATATCTTGAACACCAGGTTCGGTCAGGATGTTATGTAACTTCGGTTAACTATAAATTCCTTCTCTTTCTCTTTGTTTGTGTATTTTATAGCCGATAGTATAATCTAAAAGAGGCCAGCAGATGGTTAACCAGAGTTAATTAACTCGAACAGTTGACTCTTTCGAGTAACTATTTTGCGCGGGAAAACAATTCGTGCGTTAACGCGAATAAAAAAAGAAGGAATTATATAAGATAACGTACGCCTAATATATTAAAAAATAATGCGACGACAAATTATAAATTAAATATAGAAAATGTTTTGTAAATTCAAGAAATGTGTTAGATGCGGTATTAATTTTTTATCTCTGATTTATCACATTCCATGCGATTGGAATATGTCATATAGGTAATTGAACACACAAATCCAGTTTTAATGTAATCAAAAAGCACTGAGAGTTGGGAAATTCGATTCACTGGTACAGACAGAAAAGAGAATGTAAAATATATCGTAATCTTGTACGGCAATGTGTGTACGGCAAGATTGCTCAAAGATACATTAATTGTATTATAAAGAACATACACGATATTAGCGTATAATATCGCGACGTTATAGTTGTAGCGATTACAATTTTTTCATTATAAGAGCAACACACAATCATTGTGTATATAAATTATTTACGTATACATACACAAACATACACACACATTTACACATATTAAATAATATCCACGATTGACATTGTCTCTTGAACATTGTGTGTATCTAAATAATGCAAACTACTTCATGTCAAGCATCAATTTTACAGTCGAATCTTCGTATTATGCATTCTCCTTTTAATGATTTTCCTCTCTTACATTGTTTTATATTTTATTATTATTATTTAACATTTGTCACATAATCATATATACGCATATAGAATGAAAATTGTTTCAATTGATCTCAAGCGGGAAATGTAAAGTAATAAAAGAGCAACGGAAAGCAGTGTAAGAGGGAAAATTGATTAAAAATAGAGAGTGCAGAATATGGAAATTAATATATAATTCAACGTACGGGTTATATTCTTACTTTTAGTCTTTCGATTAATTATGTATAGATTTTTTAGACCATGAAACTTAGTCATGTAAGATTTATTATGGGTGGTATAGATTTAATGAAATCTAAATATATATATATATATATAAATATTTCAAAATCTATAACTGATTTTACGTCAGATCCTATCTTCCTTCTTTTAGATCATAAAACATAAAAATATACAAATTAAAATATTTTCTCTTTATAAAATTATTAAATAAACGCTAATTTATTTTGCAAGGTTGAATTTCGTATAATTTTTTTATATATTTATATATATATATTCTGTTTTATTGATTTTTATTTCTTTTTTTTTTAATATTTGTAAAAATATTTGGTAATTAAAATAATGAAATTTTTAAGAATGAAGAAACTATTTGTCGAAACTAAAACAACTTAATAATAATTAAGAAAAATTTCCAAATATTTTTCATGATAGTATTAATTTCTTTTAATTCATTAATTTAAAATTTAAAATATAATTCTTTAGACCAGTTTCAGCGCCGCTATTCGGGTTGTGCGTGAACTAAAATCAGTCACGTGACAAGAACTGTGAAGCTAGATGTATGTGTATGATTTGCTTGGATTTTGAAGAACCACGTGTTGTATCGTGTCTCAGGAGAGCAAAAATTTGTTACAGAAGCGAATTAAAAGAAAAACTACATCGTAATATTACAATCCATCTATGGAAATTTAAAGAGGAAGACGAAATTACAAGTAACAAGAGTTGTGAAGTTACTCTACAAAGAAAGGTTAGTATTTATATGGTATACCGCTTGAAATTTTTAGAAAAGAGGGAGGAAGGATTCAAAGGTTTCACAAAAATTGATATGATTTATATATAAGATTTAATTAATCTTTTATGTGTTTTATTTATATAGATGTCTGAAAACGTTCCATCGGCTTTTTCTATGCATGCAAGACTTAAAAGCGCAAAACATGAAATAAAAATAAAAAACAAGCCTTTGTTATCAAAAGTATCTCATCAGAAATGCATTAAACAGAAATCTCAGAAGCAACCGAATAAGAAAGATAAGCGTGCCTTAAATATTTCTGTAAAAAGTAGAAATAATATCAATAAAAAAGGCAATTTAAAAATTTGTTCTTTACCTGAAAAATTGGTAAAGGTTACAAATAAATTTAAAAAATTAAATAGAATACAACAGTTAAATGAAATAAATAATGTTCAAAGTACACGTGAAAAATTAAAAGTAACAAAGAAGCAAAAGAAGAAAATTGAAAAAAAAATTTGTGAAAATGAAAGAAACACTATTATTGAAACAACAATTGAAACAATATTAAGGAAGAATGATGAGAAAGAAAATAATGACAATCATTCAAATGACATAGAATCAGATAAAAATATGTTAATTGAACAGTCAAATATAACTTATTTTGGTAACCCCAATCCTATTTTAACGAGTCAAAAATTATTTCAGTGGCTAGTACATCCTTTGAATGTAAAAGATTTTTTTATGTAAGTTTAAATTAAGTATAATTATATATATATTTGTTATTTTATGTGTATGTTATTGAAATATTGATGGTTTTATTTTAAGAAAACATTGGGAGAGGAATCCAATACATATAAAAAGAAAGATATCTGATTATTACAAGTGGATCGTATCGACAAGTATATTGGACAAAATATTGAGAGATAATCATATTTTATTCACCAAAAATATTGACATTACTTCGTATGTCAATGGAGTAAGAGAGACTCATAATCCTCCTGGTCGTGCTCTACCAAGTGTTGTTTGGGATTATTATTTAAACGATTGCTCTGTGAGAATGTTAAATCCTCAGACATTTATACCTCAGTTGCATGCACTCAATGGTAAGAAAAAAAAACATTGTAATTGTACTCTTATAAAAATATTGTATTATTATTTTTTTAATTTATAAGACATTTTACAGCTACCCTTCAAGAATTGTTTGGCTGTTTTGTTGGTGCTAATTTGTATCTCACACCACCCAATAGTCAAGGCTTTGCACCTCATTACGATGACATTGAAGCATTTATATTGCAAATTGAGGGCAAAAAAAGGTGGAGGCTATATATGCCTCCTAATGAGAATGAATATTTGCCAAGATATTCGTCTAAAAATTTCGATCAATCGGAAATCGGGGAGCCTATACTGGATACTATTGTCAGCGCTGGGGATATGTTATATTTACCGCGGGGAACCATCCACCAAGGAACGACTATCGACGATTCTCATAGTTTGCACGTCACGTTAAGTGTATATCAAAAAAACAGTTGGTGCGACTTGCTTGAGAAACTCCTTCCGCAGACTTTGAAACGAGCAGTCAACATTGACAGTCGTTTTCGCGAAGGATTGCCTTTGGAATATTTGCGATACACTGGCATTGCACATAGCACGAATACAACAGAACAAAAAATAGCTTTCAAAGAGCAAATTAAGGATTTGATAACTAATTTGATAAATTACATCGATGTAGACAGCGCGGCTGATTTGATGGCTAAAGATCACATTCACGACTTTCTACCTCCGTTTCTCAATAACGACGAACAAAAATGTTCAGTGATGGAAGACGGCGAGATTATGACTAGCAACGGAATCGTTAAAAATCGCACGGACATAACGCTTGAGACACAAATACGATTGTTGAGAATGCACTGTATAAGGTAACAAAAGTCATAATTTAAAAAATGAAAGATATCTAACGGTAAGATGATATTTGACATAACTTTGTTTTATTATATTAGATTAATAGAAGAAGATGGAATATATAGGATATACTACTCCACCGAAAATTCGAAAGAATATCACGAATACGAGCCGCAATTTTTAGAAATTGATGCAGAGTTTGTTCCTAGCATTCAAAAAATAATAACATCCTATCCTAACTTTATATACGTAAAGGAATTGCCGATTGAGAATGATGATATTAAGGTATTTAGAGATATTTATTTATATTGCGATAAAAAATATTAAAAAAAAATTAATATAAATTGCATCTCTACTTTATAGGTTCAAATAGTGAAAGATCTTTGGGAAAAAAGTCTAGTCATAACACATACTGCTTTATGTTTGAGTTAATTTTATTACAAAACAAGTCACACAAGAAAAACTATAAAAGAAAATATATATTTTATATATTTTCTGATTTTTGACGTGAGAAAATTAACAATAACTCTAGAAAACATATATCAGTAAATTTTGAAAATAAAAAATTACACATTACGACAGTTAAGCATAATGATACTGATAGCACAATATCAGTCACATATAATTAGATATGATTCATAATATATTTTACAATGTGTAAAATGCTTATTATTTTATTTCTCTTAATACATATATATATATATATAATTTTAAATTATATGTTCTGAGTTAACAATTTTCACGTTCCGAGCCTGAGCTTATCCCGTTTCTCCTGCGCGTCATGATCTCTCTTTCTTCCCAAAACAAATTCAACATATTCTAGATAGCCATCGTTGTTTAAATCATCCTCTGCCAATACTTTATCTATTAGCTCTAAAATAGATTAAATAATTAGATTAAGAACTGCTTTTATTACATACTTGTAAAAAGCATTAGTGCAACATATACATATATATAGGCATATATACTTATATATTATTTCCTAATACTGTCATATATATATATCAAAATTTTATTCAAACATACCTACAATCCAGTCCAAGTCTTGCTCCGATTGCGTCTCGCTTTCTTCGTGTAATGTATGTTGAAGAGCGTGAAAAATTTCTAGTCCATCTAATTTCGTATTATTGTCGACATCGTGAATTCTATAATTCAAGAATTTATTAGCAATCATAAATTCATAATTTTTCGGATATAAGTGAGGCAATTCCGATATCCCAAACGTACTGAAAATAGTAGAATTCTATTTCTTGTTCCGTCATCTTTGAAAAGTCGAGTTCATCGGCCATGGGACCTATGTCCTCCTTTAGATGCCTAAAATCGTGGGATAAAGTCACGGATTCTTAAATATTAAATTTAAAATTTAATGATTTTTCGATTTATTTAACGATCGACAGGCTACATCAAAAAGATTTAACTTAATTTTAGAAATTCTACGAGAAGATGCAAAATTCTTACTGAGAAATAAATTTTTGTATAGAAATATGTGTGTACAAACATTAGCATACGGATGCAACTTGAGATACACGGTACAGAGCAAGGTTTTTCTTGGCAATTTAGCTTTGAAAAATATATGATAAACGTCATATGCCAAGTACATATTCTGCGCTTTAGCAGTGCAGATTTGATAAGCGTAATTTTCATATTTTGCTTTGAGGAAATTATATTTCTTATGAAACTCTTTAATAAATATTCCTTACATAGCTAAGATACGCGAGAGTCGTATTTTTTACAATATTTGGCTTCTGAAAATTATTAATAAATAAGATATAAATTTGTCTCAAGTCTTTATCTAGCGGTCATCAATTTGAAAATTTTTATTTAAAAAATTCTTATTTTTCTTTATCAAAAAATTCGCTCCATCGCATTGCATCTTATTTTTCTAATTACAAATATTAGGATTTTAATGCAATTCTCTCTGCATTTTAGCTGTAAAACGAAAATTAATAAAAAATAATACAAGTAAATAGGAAAATTAATAAATTAACAAAGCATTTTACAAATCTGTAATTGACTATTTCTTTTCATTAGTTTCATCTGTCGATCTTTAAATATAATTTATAGTCATAACATATTTTTTAAAATTAGTTTAAATAAATTATCTAAGATTATTGATACTTTAAATATAATTTTATAAACATATAAATGAAGACGTTAGTTTTTTATTTAAAATGATATTAATTTATTTAGAGATTTAATTGTTTTTTAGATTGCTTTTCAACTTACGTTGCATCGTGAAGAAGCTCGGAATCCTGCGTTAATTTGATTTCATTTTGCGGTGTATAATGATGATGAGATATGCTACTCTTAGGATGATGCGGTCCACGAAAGCCAGTTACTAGGCCGAGCCATAAATTAATTAAAAGTATCATCTTCATTTTGCTATCTGGAATAAATTAACGTATGTAAATTAATAATATTTCTGTCTTCATTATATTATATTAGATAAATTACACAAAGAGAATTTTCTCTTAGGATGTACTTTGAAAATCATGAAACAATCATGATACAATATGGTATTAGAAGAATTTTATCAGTTTGTTCTGATTGATATTTATTACAATAAAAAATATTAAAATGTTATTAATATTTTTTATTGCGGTGAATATTAATCAGAGAAACTGATAAAATTCTTCCATATTGTCCCAGGATTATCATGATTTTCGGTGTAAATTCTAAGAGAAAATACTCTCCGTGTAGTAGCTTATTTGAAAAATTAAAATGATCTAATAACACATGAGAGTCTTACAGCGAGCTTAAAAAAATTTGCAAATTGAAATGAAACTATGACATTAGTTTACGAATCGCATTGATTTATTTGGCGGTGGTTTGTACACGATCGAACGTAGTTTAGAAAGAACGATGACAGGCGCTCCGCGACATTCCGAGCGGTGCCCATTGACAATGGGACCTGCTGGGACATGTTCATCGGGTGTGTCGCCGTGGTAGAGTGCCTGCTTCTTCTAAGGGTCGAACACCCCGTCGGTCAGCGACAGATGGGCGGTAGAGGGGGTCCCGGTAATTATTATGCGATTACCCACAAGCCCATTGATTTAGATTGGACCCCGGGGGGCGTGATCGTGGGCCCGTCCCGATTTGTTACAAGACCGTGCTCGAAAACTCAAATTGTACTCGATGTACATGTAGTATATGTTCAGTGAACTTTTGCGGATAAGAGATTTATATCTTCAAAATATTGCGCAGTTTTTTATTATTTTTATTATTACACTGAAAACAAATTTGTTAACTTGACTAAATCATTGTTGTGAATGATTGAACATATAAAGATATTTAAATTAAATATGATATATTAAATTCAATAAAATGTGTGTGTTTGACTTCAATGTGTTCAAACATATGTTCAATTAACAAAATAATAATTTAGTTTACAACTTTGTTCAGTGTACTATTAATCGCGAATTGAAGAACACTCTTTAGTTGTTTTTCTCACATATATTTTACATATATTATTGCTAAAAGAATATTAAAAATTCAGACTTTATTATGACAATATAACAAACGATACTATATTTACATTGTCTGCAAGCAATGGTCAACAATGAATTTTCGACGTAACACCATTGTATATATATTTACAAAAACGCGGAGAGCAAATAGTGACATAGGTGTTAAAAGACGCACGAGACCGACACGAATACTGGGTACTTAGGAATCAATTTTATATAGGTTTATAGTCTCGAAGCGAGAATGCATATGTTGAGAGGGAGAAAATCCCCGAAGGGTTCTCGATGCGCGAGAGAAGACCCCCTCGAGGGTCCCATCGCGCCCCAATTCGAACACCCTTCGTGCCCGTCTGCGTGTGTCTCTGTCTCTCTCCGCGCGGTGTCGAAAGCTATAAATAATTTATATCATTTGGTCCATTCAACGGGGAGAGCCCATATGTACCTGTGTCGCCTTACAGGGGACCTGCACCCACTCGACATTCTCCTTTGCATCGTCGGGGACCAGGAAGAATCTCCCGCTGTATATATCGGGTGCACGGATAAGCTCACGGATTTGACACTAATGGATCGACCATGGTGCGACGTGTCGCCGACAGAGATTGGCCACGTAGGTGCTAATGAGATCTCGCGCGATGACGTGAACGTGATACACATATTTTGCATTTTTCCTCGTAAGTTTGTTTTATTTATCTATTTATGATTCTCTCCTTCTTTCAAAAGCGCGCACAGAAAAAAAAGGAATCCTTGATTCAAGTATATTTTTATTCTTGAACGCTATTTGATGGATTTAAGCATAGAATGCTCTTTGTAATCACAAATTTTCATTTGCCTTAATAATAAATAAGTTTGTGTGAAGTATATTTTATCCTTAAGATATATTCTTGTTTTAAAAATCGCATATGGTAAAAACAAACTTAGTCACATTTGAATTATTAAAATTGTTATATATATTTGAAAGTACCGCTTAAATGTATCCTTTATCCAAAATTATTTATATTCGGCGCTATTATAAGGATAAAATATACTTGAATCAAGGCATATTTGCATTCTTTCAAGGATACTGTTTTTTCTGTGCGGGTGAAAAAATCAATGAAAAGGAAATTCATTTATATAAACTATAAATGGTTTTATTCACCGTACAATGATATGCATATTTTTTAATATTTCTTAATGATGTTTTGGTAATATACTTGATTACACAAATATTTGAGTTTATAAGTTTTCTGAAGGAATTTTTCGAAAGGACTAATTTAGAAAAAAAAGATTATTAATCGATCTGTATCTTTAAAACAATTAAATTTTCTTGTTTGAGTAGCAATGATTGGTATATTATATGTATTTTCAGTATGCATTAAATATATAATGTATGTTATATTAATATATTTATTTATATAAAATAGAAATATTTACGAAAGTTAAATTTTTCACCACATTATGAATTGTTGATGTGAAATGGGTAATTCACATTTGTTCATTAATTAAAAATTTACATGAAAAATTTAATTAAATGAATGAAAAATAAATATTTCAAATAGGCATTTCTCATCACAGATTTTAAGTGATCGATTAAAATAATTAATTCTCTTGATACGGACAGTGTAAAATATTTGAATATATATTTCACGAATTTGTATTAATTTATTTCTTACAATTTAAATCGCTTAAATCTGTTTCTATTTAATTTTAATTAAACTTATATTGGTTTTGCAAATTAGTAAAACGTTAAAAAATTAAAGATGATTTCTTTGGAAATAAATGCATATTTGTTTTGTCTTTTTAAATTATTTTCTTTATGACTTATTTGTAATATAATATTCGCAATTAATACAATCAGTATAATATTTGAATATATTAATCAATACAATTTTAAAGACGCCAAATAAGAATTATTTTAACAACACATTTCAAACAAAAATTTTGAATATTTTATTTAAAGTTATTTTAATTAATAATATATTATAAATTATTATGTATGTATTATTATATTTGTATACATTTCAAATAAATATTTTCTATGCATTTTTTAAGCATCTATATATATATTATCGTTAGAGAAAAAAAATATACATATATAACACATATAATAAATTGTTAAATAATATTTCTTATTAAAGACAAAACATGCATGCACTAAGCTGTCCGTGAATGACGATTTTAAATATAGTCTGCATTTGAAATATGCTCACAATTGTTATAATATACCGACCATTGTTATATTTGTATCGTGCACCTTTATCTGCGATAAGTTATCTGTTACTAGTGAAACCAGGCATATGTCTCTGTGTAATATAATATTGTATGCAAAATTGCATCGATTGTTTCTACGAGATCGCAAAAGCCAGAGCATTTTCGTGCTCCTCGATAGCAATTTTGAGCGATTCCCCGCGGGAACGTTCTTCGACCGTAACTATCGGCGGGTATCTCTTATCTCGAAAGCGAGAGGGTGATCATCCCCTGCTAGATGGAGCAGCAGGTTAGACTGCCGTATAACCCTAGACCGTAATTTCAGAGCCCGCAGCTTTGTTGTTGCGAAATGTCGAGGCGCAAACGACGCAAATTCACTTATTTTTTACCTGCCTTAAACGCTCCGTGATGACCGATTGATCCGATCGGCGACGGATTTGACTGTTCGATCCACCCTTCGTGTTCTAGGATCCCCCGTTCGTGGTTTTCTCGACCCTGTCGCTCACGACTTGGTCGGCGAGAACGCGCGACGTCGCTTATCGACGTTTTTCCATTTGGAGTTTGCGTGTTGAACGAGTTGCTCCGAACGAGCGACCGCTCTCTTTGAGCGGGCTCTCGTTTCGTTTTCCTCCAAATCCATGCGAAAAGTCGGCTAATTTGATTATCCCGCTTCTTTTGCCGAATAAGCGCGTGTGGATTCAATTCGTGTCCGACTCTTATATCTGTTATTTGAGGAAACCTTAAAAACCTTTTGGAATTTTTCGGGAATCTCTTTTCTCCTTCCTGAAAGACATCGGATAATTCTCCTGGAATTTTATCGGACTCAAACAATTTTGATCTTTTCGAAGATATTGTTGCTTTTATTTCGCGCGAACAATCGTTAAACATGCTTTCATTTTGTCTGGAAGCTTAAATAGAAATATTTCAAAAATTCTTAGAAACTTGTAATTTTTACGTTTTAAATGTGTATATATTTATTTATTTATTTATTCATTGAATGTTTACATATGCGGGGATAATTTATAATATGGAAGACCGATTTTCTGCATGCAGAACTTTCATTTTGGCTACGCGGAATAAAGGATCTATCAAACTACAAGTAGTACAAACAAACATATCTCCGCCGTAAAATTACGACGGCGATATTTCTATTCTACTACTGTAAATTGAATAGACTATCGATTATACATATATGTGTATCACTGCCGTGATTTTGTGGTGGGAATATTTCTGTTTGTACTATTTGTAGTTTAATAGACCCTTTATTTTGCGTGTAGTATTAAAACTGAAAGTTCTACATGCAGAAAATCGGTCTTTTATATTGTATGAATTATTTCTGCGTATGACACAAACATTTAATGAATGTATTTTTGTAATTTAAAATATACCGCAATATTCATACATTCGTGCAATAGAGAATAATCACAATGTTTATTAATACCGTTTATTATTTGTTGCCGCGAAAATCGAAAACGCAGTTTTATGTGAAGAATTTCATACTATACAGATTGCGTCGTAACTTTGATTTTTCCTATTATTCCCCTATTATACTCCGTTAACAAATCTTGATCTCTATTAGAGCTTGACATTATGTATTTTAATATAATACATGTCCTATCGATTTTTATCTGTTGACGAAGCTCCGGGCAAATATTTGGTTTGAAAATCTGTTTTGGATTGTCTATCTGGATGAATATTCATTTTTCCTATGAACCTCTACCAGTTACCTATATATCGCACATGCGTGTTCGCTATGAGAGATATTGGACATCGGTTCAGATCTGTCCCTCAAAATCGTTGTCGTCATAACTAAATCGCGGGACGATGCGAGTTTAAGAGCATTCTATTGCGAGACCAATTCGATCGCGGTTACAAATTCGAGTTGACCGGAACAGAGTTTTTGAGGACCCAATGCGCGACAGAGAAAGAGAAGAAGAGGGATGAAATGGGGATGAAGAGAGAATGGATGCGGAAAGCGAGAGAGAGAGAAAGTGAAGAAGATGAGAGAAGAACGGAGGGTGTGCGTGTTTGAAGATCGAAGAGGGACGGAGGATAAACTGCGACGGGCGACATAGGGAGGAATGAGGCAAAGGACGAGCAGGTAAGAGAGAGAGAGAGAGAGAGGGCGAGTGGGATAGTGCGCGGATGGGTCTCCCGTTGCCATGACAACCACCCCGTAGCCTAAAGCTATGCTTTTATTGATTCCAAGCCGCAAACAATGTGCAGGAGTGGATGTTTCGCTCTGTTCTCTCTCTATCCGTCTGGATAGTGAGGTATTAACGCACCCCGAAATACCGATACCCATGGGCACGTGCCCCAGAAAAGCGGGGCCGGTTCGTTCTCTCCCTACCCCCTAGGATTTCCTCTCTCTCTCTCCTTTTCCTCCCCCTCGGCTTTCAACCCCTCTCGCTCTGCTGGAGTGCCCTGCGATTAATTCAGCAGTCTCTCGATATGCACAGTTCGCCGTTGCATTAAAATACGCGGACTTCAAAGCGCGCTCGCCGACTATGACACGTCAAAGGTTACGTCGAACTGCATCTTCTCCCCCAATTTTTCGAACTGCATTTTGCATCGCGCAGTCCACCATCTTCGCGTGTGGATATCACAGATTCTTCATCGTCTTATTTTTCGCGCTGAACATGAGATCTCGCGAAAATCTCCTTTTTGCGCTAAAGCATGTTTTGTGCTTAAATGTTATTTGTAACTGATACAAGTATCTCGATTATAAATTATACGGAGAGCTTAGTTTCGTACGATCTGCAGCTACGGAATTAATGCATGGCTATAAAAAAGACATCGTAATAAATTAATATTTTAATGCATATAAATATATCCCTGATTGAATCGAACACAACAAAGACTGCGGATAAATCGGTTGGACTCGATTGAAATTAACGTCAACAGCTGCGGTGCAGAAGAAGAGAATCGATTGAAAGATATTCCTTTCTCTCGCTCTCTCGAAGGCTATCTTTTGAAAATCGAATCAATAACAATGAGCAAAACTAGCCATGCGAAAGTCAGATCGCGATTGAGTTTTCTACTCGATTACTACGAAGAAAGGACCACCCATCGCGATTTCTCCATGAACAGTTTACCACCCACGGATGCGTTTCAATTGCACGATATTCCGAGCGGACTTTTCAACGATTCTCGGAATGTCATATCGAGTCGAATATATTTTCGATAATTATATCATAGCTTTTATTCCTTTTCTTTGTATTTAGTCATTTTTTGAACCTACCCATATTTCTTAGCGTATGTGTTTGCTGTTATCTAAGTAAAATTATATAGATGACATTTTGACGTCATATTAGCTTTATATAGATAATAAAAATGTATGTATTATCTATATCTGCATCTTTGATGAAAAAAAGTGTTATCTTTACTAAATTATCTAGAATAATATTCAAATAATTTGCTTTAGAGTCATGGTATAGAAAAATACTTAAATAATAGAACTTAAACAGTAAGTGATAAAAACTTACAAATAAAAGTATAAATATAGGGATTTTTGTATCCCTTATAAGTTAATTAGATGAATTGCTAAATAATTTTATCTTTTATTTAAATATATTTAAAATCACCTCTTTATCTAAGATAAATTTACATATTTTCATCCCATCTTTAGCTAGATCATTTTAAAATCATATAAGCACAACACTGCTATTAATTATACGTTATTAGAATTTGTGACAAGAAATTGCAAGTTGCAATAACAGTTGAATATCGATAAAAATGATAATTTTCATAATTTTTATATACTTCAAATTTTTTGAAGAATCGGATGAAGATAAGATTATTTTCAAATTAAATATACATTTTTATATATTTATAGAGATAGTGGGCTTGTCTCTTGCGTGCGTAAAATTGATTTATAAAACTCGCTGAACGATTATTAAAAATGATTTCAGAAATGACTGCATATCACTTACAAGAAGTAAGAATATGTCATATTTCATAATATTCAAATTTGTGCTTTATACTGTGTAGAAAGCAGAACATTCTGTCGAACAGATTTCCCATTGTAATTTTAACTTCTCGTTATCCTTTCTCGAAGCGAGAATCTGTCTTCGCGAAAATTCCAGTTATCATTGCTCGAAGTAAAGGTTGTTTAAGTTTAACTAACGACTTACAATTCAATTAGGAGAGATTAAAGTACTCGTTGATGAGAGATGTTCTTCTAGTAATTATAAACTGAATAACGCACGTTTACTTAATTAATATATTATTTATGAATTAAGCTTCCATAGATACATTATAATTTCTATAAAAAAAAAAAAAAAAAATGATTCCATAGAATCCTAATAAAATTTTATTCTTATTGAAACTACAAATAGCGGTGGAAAAACTGCAGAAGAAGCAATAAAGAGAGGACACAAAAAGAAATATATCAATTAATTATTATTTTATATCATTCTTCGATTATGTTTCGCGTTTTACGAACGTATAATTTTTTTTCACACTCGTCTGTTGAATTTCTTATCTCTAGAAGAAAAAAAAAATCGATCGATCGCCGGTCCATCTCTCTTTTCATATCGCTATTTGAATTTTTGTCGTTGGAGAAAAATATCACGCTGGTTAGCAGCCGCGTTGTTTGGCCATATATATATATATATATATATATATATATATATATATACGCTCGCGCCCGAGCGCCTGTGCCCTTTTATTTATATTTTTTTCATTTTTATTTTCACGGCAATCGCTCGATCGCAGGCGTGTCGCATTCTGACGCATGAAAATGGCCCAAAGGGATGCGCCAGCCATGATCGATGCTCCATCCGATCGGAGTCTACCGAAACTGCCCGTCAAATAATATATTCATAGCTTCCGGATGGTTGAACGCGACTCTCGGAAACCACCCCCGCGACCCTCCCGCAATCGTGTCTACTTCCCTCTACCCCCTCTCGCCAACCTGCTCGTTCATCCCCCGTTTACCTCCCCTCCGCCCCACCCCCCAATGCGCAGTCCATCCGCACGCAAATCGACTGTCGAATAATTATCGAAAATACACGCGCGGCCGGCTCGCGGCGCTTTTTTTCCCGCTCTCCCGTTCTGTCCTCTGCCTCGCGGACATACGATTAACTCTTTGAGCTTTGCCGATATGCCGCGCACGAAATATCGTCGTGTTATCTGGAGCTTTTCATGCGCCATTGCCCCGTTCCGTTCAATCTAGCGTACATCCATGTAAGGTCGCATGCACATTGACCGGTGATTAGCGCAATACCTTGTGTATACCTTCGACATTCTAACATATGCATATTCAAATAGCAAATTGCTTCGCTATCCAGCTGATACTGAAATTACTTTTTTCTGGGGGTACGTGGGGGTTTCGTGATTATATACACTTTTAACGGAGAAATCTTAATGTTTGATGAAGAAGAAAAAAATAATATAAAGTCGTTTATTTTATTCGAGCTTTTCGAGGCTCTCGTGTATTTATTTGACGTTTCTGGGGGATGTATAAGATTATGCGAATCTTGGTTAAATTTTATTAATGTGTAATGATTAGCGAGTTTACAACTATGATCCCGTTATTTATTTTAGTATTTTAT